TATATCCTTGGTTATTTACGTTTCTTCTTTTTGGAGGTATTCCTTTTTTTGTTCAATCGTCCTTACTTGGTTACTAGGTTTGCTTCTTCCTGTTGTCGCCCGTTTTTGTGTCTCCCTGTTAGTCCTTAAAGATTGGTTACATGCCTCACGGCAGCACATATGCCTCTTATCACCCATTACTACCTCTTTGCCTAACTAATCAAACATACTGTTTCCTGTGGCCTGTCCGGTTTACATACACCTACCTGCTAGTTAGGGTTGGGGTTGTCACTTTGATCACACTTGCTTCTCCTGTGACACGATAGCAGCTAGCTATGTTGATAAAGTAGCAAAAATTCCGTTGATTACTTTGTAAGCTATGTATCTTTCAACAAGCTCGCCCACGTACTCCGCTAATGTCGTAAGGTCTGCTCTTTTCAGTGTATGCCAGGCCACCCAGTGTGGAACGATACCGGTAAGCGCCTGGCGAAAGTCGCTGTCCAATGGAGTCCAGGAGGCTTGTATTTCCTATTTGTGCGCAGAAGGAAGTAGTTGGGTAGCTCCGTAGCCAAATAAACGGCTTGCTTCGTAATATCGTCAAGAGCGATGTCTTCAGCTTCTTCTAGCTCATTTATAGATTTAAATCCAAGATACCCTGCTTTATCCATTGGGCCACGTACGCGCCAGGCAGTGTATGCCAGGTTGCCTCGTCGGCGGTGTTATTCTTTGGTATATGGTGGCCGAAGTATGTTGTTCTGCTCATGTGGAGGCCTGAACTCAACAACACAAAGTCCGTATATGGGATGAACTGACGTGAGCCAAACACCAACCACGATATATAATAGCAAAATCTGTCATATTCGCCTGTGACACTGTAGTCTCATCATCAATAAGGTAGCGAAGGTGTGTTGAACATCCATTTATTGTGTATCCTGTCTATTTGTGGATATCTCGGGTGCCTCGTAGAATTGCTATACTGCTCAGCGGCTGCGGCTTTTTGGTATGAAAGAGCTAATTGCCTGGTATCGTGGAAGAGATCGCCTTAGACAGAGATAGAGGCCCATGGATACCAACTATGGGAACTGGACGAAAACCTCATATGCCGATCCCGTGAAGGGCAAAAACGCAAGGACAAGCAGCGAAGAAGACAGAAAGGCAGCCATCGGTCGCCCAGCCGAGTGGGCCTTATATCCAAAGCCCAACGCATACCATGGGTATGATCCTCTAAGGGACACCGCGAGCAAGATTTGTCCTCTTAAAAGGTACGAAACTTATCACCGTCTGAGTATATCGTTGTATGGAGTATCGTTTCTTGTTTATTAGAAGCGAGTTAGATCTGAATTGATGATTAACTAATATATCACGTGATATGATCCCGACGTCATAAAAAAAGGGAAAAAAATAAAAATAAATGAAATAAATAAAATAGATAATCTAAAGAATTAAATCTTTCTCCGGCTTCGACACAGCAACGCCGGCAGCTGTGATTCTGTTGCTTGACAGGCATTATTACCATCAGGGAAGCTCTAGAACCTCGCAAAGGCTGGGTCTCTTGGTTCTTTAGTCCAGCGCCATGGAATACCACTCTGTGCCGCTCGAGGAGCGCGCGAAGGACGAGAAGGGAAACACTCTGCCATGGGGATACATATACAAGGAGTAAGTCGCTGTTTATCCATCCAGCTTCATGAATTGTTCTGGCCCGTCATTTTGCTATTCGAAGCTCGTCCATACTGTTGGAAATGGTAAATACAGCTATATGGGGATTGGCTAACGTTGGCAAACAGTGAATCTCGCAACCCTCGACGACCACCAGAAGAGACAGGCCCGTTTGGCAAAAGGAGAAATACACGATACGGCTCTACCAGGTCGGCGACGCGAACGGGGACGCCAGCTAAGCGGGAAAACCCGAATGTTGCAGAGTTCGGCAGACTGTTCAGCCTTCAACAGGAGGAAGAAGCGCAGCAGAAGTTACTCGCAACTAACAACACAACGTCAAATGATTCAGCGGCCAGTAGAGCACCGACAGACGCTGTTGCGACTGAATGTATACTTTACGGATACAAAGACAAGGGCGTTGAATGGAGGGTCATTGACAAGTTCGAGCGCATCTCACTAGGCTATATCTGCGAAGACTATTCCCGGACGGACCCTGATATCAACCCTAAGTACCCTCAATTGCTGAGTGGAGGCGATGTCGTTATCCGTCCGATACTTTCAGCCGATGCCAATAGAAAATCGAAAAGATATGCTGGAGGAGCACACTGGATCAAAGTGACCTTTGACTCTCTCACAGCTGCTGATAGAGCCTGTCACTTCTCTCCGCAAGAAATCGACGGCTGCCTTGTACACTGCGAGATGTACCATGGCCACGGACCACAAGAGGACGCTCCTATTCTCAAAGCCGCCGTTGAGCAGCAGTCGCGACTAAACTCGATCTATCCATCTCTCACGCCATCCACTTCTTTCCAAACAAACGAATATGACCGCTCATTTTCATACCCGCAGCTCCACGCCGGTATTCAAAACACTGGCTACGATGTCCCTGCATCCGTTCAATCGACAGTAACGGCTAGCTCTGCCACAGTCATGGGGCAGAACAATCCGGACACAGACACCCTTCGTCAACGGCCCGGCTGGTCTCAGTCAAAATCCGAACCCGAATCCGAAACAAAACCAGCAAAGTCCGAATTTATGACCCATATACCCACAGTTCGACGGGCGGTTGTGCGTCCAGCATCAGAAGCACTCCCTCCCCAGCCCTCAGTGACGGAAAGAGTGCTCCGATCGATACCGATTCTGAGTTGGTTTACGGGGGACATTGTTGGCGACGGGCCTGCTCTGCGAGAAGACGGCTCATTTGATGACCAAAAGTCAAATCTCTACTGGCGATTCTGGCACATGGTCGACATGGTACTGGGAACCGATCTCTGCGGCCTCAAGGAAGAGATATAAACAGCCCGCTCTTTCACAACCTTCTGTCAGCATACATACACCTTACTGAACACCTTTAATCACCTACCTTGCTACGACACATAGCCCGTTTGGACTCCAAACTAGACCACATCCTGCTCACAGCATCTCTTTGTATCTTTTACGACAATGCGAATGTTGTTATCGCTCTTCTCTCTCTTTTTGTTATTATCCTCCCTTCACACGACGTATCTCCTATGTCCTTCCCCCCTCTTCCCTTCCGTTACACCCACCGCACCCGCCAGGACGTTTGCTATGTTAATCCATGTCACCCTGACTGTGGGCTTAAGTCAGGGATGTTTGTTATATGAGAGACAACACGGGTCCAGAGCGAGGCTGAGACAGGACACAGAACACTCCTACGACCACCAGTACCTACTACTACTCCTACTGCTGTGTACTATTTTTTCCATTTGTCAAGGAGGCTGAGATAGACCTACGACTAGATTTATGTGTTAATTTATGATTGATACCGCCGTGGAGCAGCTATCTATGCATCTGTAGATAGGTTGCGGTGAGGCTGCGAATGTTTGTCTATAGGTATCCCCGTAGACATCTGCGGCCGCCTGGCTCCCTGTATGAAGTCCGCAGTTAACCAACTTCTATCTTCTCTCTCCTGTATCTCGTTTTGTCTCGCGAGAAAAGAAAAGCAGCGCCCCGCGTCCTTCCGCAGCCGGTGTGCACTGCCTGCATGGACATCCCAGGGCCACCTGCATCGTCCAACCAGCAGCTCTACCATGAATGGCCCCCTTTCCAGCATCTACCAGCAATCATCCATGTCGCTGCATATACATGGAAAACAGCAGGCCGATGGAGACATCGGGAAGTATTCACAAATGCTCCGTACACAGCATTGATTACCCAGCCAGCTACCTTGAAAGCCGCTCCCTTTCGGCTCTCTTGGGGCGCCTTTGTTGATGCAGGGGATGGACAATGGTACAGAGCAATGCAGGGTGTGCACATCCGTCGCACCACTTGCGCTGGTGACTGCCGGGGATGCATTGGAAGTCGCACTTTTGGTGTCACGCTGGTTTATATATTGTATAACTGGTTGTATTACCATATATAAACATGGGTATCCGTGAGAAAGTCCTTTCAAAGGGCTGTGTGTTCTGGCGCGCAACTCGCGACTCCCCAAGTCAAGGAACAAATTACGGGACGAAATATACTCGGCACCAGACAGGACAAATACCAGCAAGATGGGTAGCATAGCCTATCAGGATAGTGGCTACTGTCGCCGTGACCCTAATGTGATGCCTTCTCTTGCTCCTCCGATACCAAGATATGCGCCAGAACATGTTTCTGAGGAGGATAGATATGAAGTTGTTATCGTAGGGGTATGTTAGAGCAAGCGCCATACTGATAGCAGATTGAGGTGACAATGGATGGTTGACTGTTGACTGATTCTTTGAATACAGGCGGGTCCAGCAGGAATGCTGCTTAAGCTACTTCTCTCGCGGTTCGGGCTTGGAGACAAGTCAGTTCTGTGCATTGAGTCCAGAGACACTATCCTAAGAGCCGGCCAGGCAGATGGGATACAGCCACGAACAATGGAAGTCCTCAAGAGCCTTGGGTTGATGCACGAGATATCTACGGACGGCGGTCAAGTGTGGGAGGTTGCGTTTTGGAACCCTGTTCAGCCGCAAGGGGAAAACGGTGAGCAAGATGCTGCACCAAGAGGCATTGAGCGGACTGCTATTGTGGACGACGTTGCCCTCGCCACTAGATATCCTCATGAAGCCACTACGCACCAGGGAAAGGTGGAACGCATCCTTGAAGACGACCTTCTCCGGTACGGGAAGGAAGGCATCCAACGATCTACAACTCTGCTTCATGTGCGCATTGACGAGAAAGAGGTGCCAGCTTTCCCCGTCGTTGCTGAGATTGAATCCCCAATAATGGGAAGACGGACTATTCGGTCAAAGTATCTTGTCGGTGCAGATGGTGCACACTCGACTGTTCGTCGATGCATGGGGTTGAAGCTCGAAGGGGAGACAACAGACCATATATGGGGCGTCATTGACCTGGTAGTTGATACAGATTTCCCAGACGTTCGAAGACGGACTGCTGTCCATTCAGATGCCGGCTCTATCATGATCATTCCTCGTGAGCGGTCCGTTACCGGTGACCTTATTACACGCCTTTACGTGCAGATCCCAGGTGATGTCAAAGTTGATGAAGCTGATATTGCGGGAACAACGAAACCTGAGGGTTTCAAGCAAGGACACGACGACCCGAGAGCTCGACGAGGCCAAGTTACCATGGAGAGTATCATGGAGCAGGCTCAGGAGGCTGTCAAGCCATACTACATCAAGCACAGGGAGGGAACGAACGTCGAGTGGTGGACTGCATACCAGATTGGACAGCGCGTTAGTGACCGCTTTTTAGTGACAGACTCCAACGGGATGCAGAGAGTATTCATTGTTGGAGATGGTACGTCCTCGTGGTCCTTTTGAACGGAGTATGTGGTAACTGAACTGACTGTCCGTCCATAGCTTGCCATACACATAGCCCCAAGGTAAGTACGGGATATAGTGTGCTCTTTCGGATGGTTAAGTCCACCGCTAACACGTCCTAGGCCGGTCAAGGAATGAATGTTTCAATGATGGACTCTTTCAACCTTGCATGGAAATTGGCCTACTCCATCAACGGGCTGACTCCCGCCTCACACGACAGCGCCGGCTTCCAAGACAAAATTCTCGGCACGTATGAGATAGAGCGTCGCACAATTGCACAGCAACTAGTCGAATTTGACAAGTCGTTTTCTTCTATGTTTTCAGGCAAAATCGGCACTGCGGATGTAGCCGGCTCGGGGCTAACGCACGACCAATTCCTTGAAGTGTTCAGAACTGGCAACGGGTTCACTAGCGGATGTGGAATTGAGTATCCGGAGAGCATTCTGGTTGATAAATCCATCGAACACAATGTGGTCAAGGGGACGGATTATCTGGCTGGTATCTTGAGGCCTGGTAGACGGTTATTGAATGTCAAGCTTAAGAGGCATGCGGACGGGTGCCATGTGGATTTACATGACGGTTCGTTTGCTCCTTGCATTTGCATGTCAACCTAGTGTGTCTCAATCAAAGATGTTCAACTAACGACTAACTACTTACACTTCGTATAACAGAGATTCCAACCACAGGCGCATTTCGGATCCTATGCCTTACATCGAAGGACCTACTTGACCCGCACGGAACATCAAGCCAGACTCTATCTGGACTCTGTGATATGGTCAAATGCGTATCCTCCCTGTATTCATCCAGTAACATCCTGCAGCTTATCACCATCTACCCACGCGCGCTGGTTGGCTTAACACCAACTTCACCACCAAAGGCTCCGCTGCCTACTTCATCCTTTGTCTGGAGCGAGGTGCCTAGCTCTCTGCGTGAAGTGGCGGAGATGAGCGTTTATTGTTCTGCTGTTGCCAATGAAGATGCGTATGGGCTTTATGGTGTGAGTGAGGATGAGGGTGTTGTTGCTGTGATCAGGCCAGACGGGTATGTTGGTGTGGTGGCATGCTTGGGCGAAGCAGGGGTTGATAAGGTACGGCGGTTTCTGCAGGGTGCTATCTGGTGGGGACACGAGAACAAGTAGATGGGTGACTTCGTATCAGTTATATAGCAGGTAACTAGTGGTTAAATCTGGGGAATATGAGTTGAATTTATATACGGAGTATTCATAACATCATTGACTATGTACGTGAAGATAAAAAGGAAGATGGAAAGGGAAGCTTAAAAACCGAACTCCTCGACATGGAGATATATACCCTGGGCCCCTGTACCCTTGTGTACTGCTCGTTCATCAGATAAAGAGACGACATTGCGTCTGACATCTGCACTTAGCCCGCTGGGACCGCATACGATGACAGCACTCTCACCCTCCGCCACCTCTAGCGCCGAGAGAATGATATTGTCGATATTCGGCCTACCAGTCTTAAGACAGACAGGAGATTTGGAAGATGGACCTTTTTCCCAGGAAGCCAGGGGAGAAAGAGAAGTTGTCTGAGAGGAATCCGAATTTGTCGAGGGGGAGCGTTGTATATGTAGACCGGTGCCGTGAGACGAAGGGCTGGTGGCGGACATATGAGGGTCTGAGGTGAGGTATATGCTTATTTCGAAAGTAGGCTTGAATTTGGAGTTGGTTGAGTGGCAGCCTTCCATGTCCCGCATGAGAGACTCCAGCTCTTTCTGGAACCATGAGATGTGCGAGTGAGAGCGTACGGCCCAGACGAAATGGACATGTTTGGTGATAGGGACGGAACCGCCGTTGCTTTCTGCCCTCCAGCCCTCTACAATGTCACGCAGCAATGGGATGGTGAAAGTTGCTCCCATGCTGCCTGCGAAGAGGATGACGCTGTCGAACTGGCGAAGGGGCCTGATGGCGCCGTATGGGCCGTCTAGAGCAACGAGACGAGATGAGTCCGAGTCGATGGCGGTGTTCCATTTTACTGCATGGTTGTGGATAGTTCGTGTAGCACCCGCCTCGGCCCGGATGAGGAATTCTATCTTGTTGTCTGATGGGAGGGAAGAGATGGTGAATGGGTGGCTTTGGAAGGGGAGGAGAGTTGGAATAGAGAGGAAGACGTGCTGGCCCGGTTTCCAGGATATGACTGGGTTGCGGATGGTGACTCTGGTGACGTTTCCAGCCAAGGGGGTGAAGGTGGCATAGTTCGCCCACGGTGAGTTATGGGAGGAGGATGACCTGGAGAAAAGAGCGAGGTTCGACCAGGCCATCATCACCCACCTGGCAGCTCGATCAAAGACCACGAGAGCAATGGACACCCAAACCCACATCTTGACTTCGGGCTCAGCGTGCAGCCATGCGGCAGCAATGAAGCCAGCATAAGTAACCACATGCGAGAGGAAGAAGAGTTCGTAGCTCCAGCGCCTCACAGGCGAGAGAGTTGCAAAGAGGATGAAAGTGAGTATCGACCAGGCTGCTATCCCTCTCTGCGTAATGGGATCCGTCCTGACTTTTGTCGCAATGTAGTTGAAGCGTCCCCAGCTGCGGAACCAGAACCCCATGTGTATGGTGGCCGACATCCAGAGCGTCCTGGCAGTCCATCGATGCAGCCAGTTAAGCCGTTCGTGGCTGGAGCCCGTCAGAAAGCCGATGATGTTCCTCTTGCCGGCCAGCAGCAGGATGAGTGGAAGCTGGGCAACGGTCATGAAGCCGGTGCGGTACCCAACGGTCTCCCACGACCACTGGTCCATGGTGTTGAGCTTGTAGAAGCAGAAGACCATGACGGCGATGAAGTTGGCCAGGGCAAGGCTGACCCTCCCGAGCAGCGACGGCTGGAACTCCCACCGTCCCATCTTCAGCGGGCTGAGGGTCGCGGACGAGTACTCTCTCGTCATGGCCGTGAGCGTCGCATAGACGCTGAAGAAGAGCGACTTGGGCTTTGCCGGTGTCCTTGTTGTGTCAGTGAATCTATGCATGTATGAACTTGGTCAGTCAAAGTCCCCGTCTATCACTTCATGCAGCCTCTTTGACTGGTCTACACACCTCTGCACTGCGACTATCTTGTTGAGTATGTTGCACGCCGTAGCGACGCCGATTGCTGTCCCGACGACGGCCCAGTACATCCGCTGCATCTCAAAGTACGTCGGCACGCCATCTCCCGTGGGCGTCGCTCCTCCGCCATGGTTGTGCGCCATCTTCTATCATCCGCTGTCGGTAACCAGGACGGCGATAGTTGGTATAAAGTAGAAGAAGTAGAAGTAGGAGTAGAAGTAGCAGAGTCAGAAATGGCAGAAGTGGGAGTAGAGGGTGAGCATATTACCTAAGCTGACGCCGACGACAAGGTTAAGGTTATCGACCTCTCATGCCTAATAATGTGCTCATCCCGCGGGTCCTTTTGCTCTTTGCTTTTTCTTCGCTTGTCTCGACTTTCCTACTTGCTTCAACATCCTCGTTGTTTCGCCTGTTTCAACTTCCAACCTCAACTTCAACATCAACACCTCAGCTTTTTCAGCTCGGATGAGATAGCAGCATCACACAGCCAACGCCAGCATCGACTCTGACAGGATGGCTCACTCGCACGGCTCGACAGACCCCAACATGGCGGTGGCCATGGTCTTCCAGAACATACCCGCAACACCGCTGTATACACTGAGCTGGACGCCGCGGAGCAGCCGCGCCTACGCCGGGACATGCGTCTTCCTCATCTTCCTCGGGGCCGCAGCCAGGACGCTGCTCACGGCCAAATCGATCATGGACCGACGCGCCCTCGCAGCCGCCAGAGCACGACGATATGTCGTTGTAGCGGACAGGCGGACATCGTCAACATCACCATCATCTGAATCACAGACGCTGCCGGCAGAGCCTGAGTCGGAACGCAGCAGCGAGGACGCATTCGAGAAGAAGACGGGGACGCTGATAAGCGCCCACGGCGTCGAGGAGAACGTCCGGGTGGTCAACGCGACGGCTGGGCCACCTGTCATGCCCTGGCGGTTCAGCGTCGACCTGCCGCGGGCGTTAATGGTGACTCTCACCGCGTGTGTCGGCTATCTCCTGTACGTCGCTGTCCCTGGCCCCCGAGACTGCCGTATATCTTACTAGACACTGACATCGAACAGCATGCTGGCCGTGATGACCATGAACGTCGGCTACTTCATGTGCGTGCTCGTGGGCATCTTCGTCGGCGACCTCGCAGTAGGACGTTTCGCCCACAGTTTCGAGGAGCACTAACGTCGTCATCTTCATCTTCTTCGCCATCACCATCTTCATCATCTTCATCTTCATCATCTTCCCCTTTGCCCCTTTCTTGTCGTCTTCATGTCTATACCATCATCCATCGGCATCTGTAAATATCGTATACATCATATATATACTTTCTGCAAACCTTCGGCGTCTTCATCTTGTTTGCTTTTTCCAGGTGAGCGGGATTGAGCATATTAGCTAAGCGCAGCACCTGCGTCTAAAAGCCTTGGACAGAAACTCCGCGCTCCACCTAAATTTAGAGGCGGAAGCGAAGCCGCCAGCCATAGCCAAAAGTAGCCAAAGTAGCCATAGTAATAAAAGTCACAGTCAGCAAGTCTTGTAAGCAGCCGCGGAGTTGGTCGGCAAAAGAAAAAGCGAAAGGCGAAGACGAAGCTCAGAGTAAAAGAAGCTGCATAGAGAACGACGGTTGGTATAAAGAGGCGAACTTCTCTCTCTCTCTCTGCTTATACTCCTGCTTCTGCTTATTGTAACATCGTATACCACACTCCATTGTTGAAAAGGCGATAGTGATACCGATAAGTCTCAAGTCAAGATAGCCAGGATAGCGAAGATGAAGCTGCTCACGATCCTCCCCGCCCTGCTGCCGCTCGCCGCCGCGCACTTCAACGTCGAGGCGCCTCCAACCCGCGGCGGCAACGAAGACACCCAGCCAATGTTCCCGTGCGGCGGCCCAACAGAGCCATCCCAGAACAGAGTGCAGATTCCTCTCGAAGACCCCAAGCTTGCCATTGCCATGGAGATGGGCCACGACCAGGCGGCCGTCCAGGTGCTGCTCGGCCTAGGATCGAACCCGGGATCCAACTTCAACATCTCTGTCGTCAAGACCTTCAGACAGGTCGGCCTCGGAGCCTTCTGTCTGCCGGAAGTCTCGTTCTCAGAGGATGTGGTTGGTTTCAAGCCAAAGGACGGCATGGACGTCACCATCCAGGTCCTTAGCAACGGTGATCCGAATGGCGGTCTTTTCCACGTATGATGAACCCTCCCTGTCTTCTTCTTTCTTTCTTTTCGGGCCACTTGCTAACGAGTCGTCACAGTGCATCGACGCCGTTTACTCCAGGTCGGCACAGTACGTCAAGCCAGACAGCTGCAAGAACGGAACCGGCGTCCAGGCCATGCCCTTCAGCGGGGAAGCTGCCAACCGAAATGCCAACGAGTCCACGCCCAACGGCCAGCCACAGGGAGGATCCGGTGGTAATGGTGGTAGTGGTGGTAACGGTGGCCAGAGTCCCAGCCCAACAGGCAACTCGGCGCCGCTTCAGACTGCCGCTGCTTGGGGCGTGCTGGGTGCGGCCATCGCTGGAGGCGTTGCACTCTTGTAAAAATAGACGATAGATGATACCCCCGTCATCATTTGATGAACAGAACAGACAGCTATGATGAAATATGACACGATTGTCCCACTTCTTCTGCTTCTCTCTGGTAGTTGTTTTTCCTCCTCTTGAGAATGATCATCATCTTCTTCTTCTTGATGTCGTCGTCGTCTTTCTCTTCCTCATCCTTCATCCTTCGAGTTTCATTCACGTGACTAGAATTTCCTTTGTTAGTAAGATATTAGTAATAAAGATAATGCTTATCGCAAGCCGAGGAACGAAAGTTTATTCCTTTTTCTTCGTTCCTCCAAGATCATCATCGTCATCATCGCCAGGTGAACACCCATAGCTATACCGACAACGCCGTCACCATGGCCACTAAAGCACCATTCGTTGTTCCTGCCATCAAGAGGCACACTGCCACCGTCATCATGGCCCATGGTCTAGGTGACACGTGAGTTATCCTCCTCGCAGCAGCCGAGTCGACCATTTCTAACTGAACCCTCTAGCGGAGCTGGCTGGTATGATACGATGCGCCCTCTACAGTTGAGCACCCGTTAATCTGCCGTGACAAAAAGGATGATGATGGCCCAGAACTGGCGTCGACGCGGGATGTACGATGAAGTTTCCTTTATCTTCCCCAATGCGCCCTCCATACCGATCACGGTGGTATGTCCATCTCCCCTGTCCCTGTCTCCTCTCCACTCCTTCCTGTGCTGACTGTCAATCACCTACTTTAGAACTTCGGTATATCTATGCCCGGATGGTATGATATCAAGAACCTCTCCCCTACGGTACGATACCACACACCCCCGCTCGCCTCGGCATACGGAACGCATGAACACTAACACTTAAGCAGCAAACCATAGAGGAATTCTTTTCCCAACGCGATGAGGCCGGCATCCTCAAGTCCCGCGATTACTTCAACACCCTCATCAAACAAGAAATGGACAAGGGAATCAAACCCTCCCGCATCGTATTCGGTGGATTCTCTCAAGGTGGAGCCATGGCGCTGGTCACTGGCTTCGCATCCCCCGTAAAACTAGGAGGTATCTTTGGCTTGTCATGCTACCTTCCCTTGTCTGCTGAACAACTCAAGAAGCATACGCCAGAGGATTGGCCCAACCAGAAGACGCCTCTTTTCATGGGCCATGGAGATATCGATCAGGTGGTTAAACATGAATATGGAGTGAAAACCGCTTCCGTCTTGAAAGAGATGGGCGTTGATGTGGACTTCAAGACTTATCAGTACGTTAACACCTCTTGGTGGCTCACTGCGTAATCTTTAGTGCTAATGTTTCGTTCATAGCGGACTTGGTCATTCCAGTGATCCAGATGAGATCCAGGACCTTGAGAAGTTCCTGGAGCGCATCATCCCCGATGAGGGAACTGCCGCCTCCTCTGAATTATGACTTGGTATGAATACGCGTGGCTCTGACCGTCAGTGGATGTTCACCTCGACTTTTGGGCTTCTTATCCTTATCTTCTCTCTGTGGCTGGGAAGATATATAGGCCGTCGTTCATCCGCCACATTACACTGATGATGTAGCTTCCAGGCAGCGTACCATTGCTCTTCCCAAATAGAGTAGCGTAATTTTATAGTCTTTAGACTTCAGACTTAATATACAATAATACAGCAATGGCTCTTTAACGACTAATGCAATCGTGCATGTTTGGTATAGAGTAAAAATAAAACCATAGAGCATCATATTTAAGTCTCCTCAGAGAGCAACTTCAATATCGCCGATTCACTCGTAGCAACCACTGGAAAAACCTCAATTAGCACCCACAATATATAAAGCAACTCTCCGAATGAAATAGAGGGGAACGTACCTGCTTTCCCATTGTTCCAATCAACAACCTACATCACAGATCAAACCAGTCAGCCTGCATACTACATCTAACCCAATGACTCACAACTCACCACAGGCCTTATAAAGCTATCAGCATTCTCCTTCAACTTCTTAACAGCATCGGATTTGTCCGTGGCGCCGGACACCAAGTCACCCGGCTTTCCCACCCCGATACCCCCGCTAGCAAGAGGAGAAGAAGTCATATAATCCATAATAAGCTTGAGTTGGTCTGTGGTCGGCGGCTCTTCGGTAACATTTAGCTCGAAGTCGGAGCTTCGTAGTGGTGTACCGGAAGGGGATGTTGCTGCTCCTTCTTTTATGGCCGTTGAGGCCTTTTGCAGGACGGATAACGCTTTGGCGGAGGACGCGAGAGTAGGTTTGTGGAAGAGCGTGATGATGTCGAGGGTTTTATGCTGGGCAACAGTAACGGTACTTTTGTTAGTGAGGGTTGGTTATTTGTAGTGTTAAACAGAAGGCCTTACAAAGCGAAACATGGTGAAGAATTGATTGTGCGATTTTCGTCTGGTCTGCTTCGTGATTGTCGAGTTTGTTGTATGCGCAGATTGAAGGTAGAGGTTGGAAGAAGCTCCAGTCCGCGGTTGAAGGTTTAAATCCTGATGCGGCTCTGGCTAGTTTGCTAGTTACGTCATCCCGCCCAGGCGTCTCTCCACCCCAGGGCAGCCGGCTCCTTTGTTTACTTGTTTATTTACAATCATCAATCGGCGTTTACGAGTTCTACAATTTAGTCATTTACAGGAGGAGAATAAAGGCATTCGTCAAATAGTATACTCATAATGTTACGACAAGGCTAAAATACCAAACACAAAAGAAACATTTACCCACCATAAACCGGGAACTGATGATGACAGCGTATGCAACAAGGAAATGCAAAAGAAAAGGATTCACACAATTGGGGGAAAGGAAAAAAGATTGACCAGGAGTATGAGGTTTAGAGCATATCCGTAGTGCGTTTGGCAAGGTGCGGAATATCGAGGGAATGCGGTAAAAATGAGAGTGGAAATGAATGCTTGCACCACGCCATGTAGAACAGCTACAGATATTACAATAAGCTTATTTTCCGAGTGGTTGAAGAGAAGGTAAATGGGTAAATTCGAGGGAGCCAGCTCTGGGAAAGGTTGAAGAAGGATAAATATGGAGTAATAGGCAGCGACGAACAGCGTGCCAATCAAAAGAAGAGGCTTGGACCAGTCCGGTTGTTTTAAAACATAGTTCCAAAGGACCCGTCAGTCGGGATACCCTTCCGAGGGCTACTGCGTCCGTCGCTATCAATAACAGGTTTTCGATGTCTATTCATTCTACTGTTAGCAAAGCAATTGCGAGGATGAAGCTCAGTTTAGGGGACCTCCATACCTAAAAGTGAATCCAACAAAGACGCTCTTGTTCATCTTTTCGTCCCGATCAGCCATATCCTCAAGTGCCTTTTGTTTATCATGCACCTCCTTATATTTAGCCATGTCAGCCTCATTTCCGAAATCATCGAAGTAGCCAGCATCCGTTTCAGAGTCAAGGTCAGGAACAAATGGAGCTTTCTGCTCTTCTCTTAGAGTGTTGAAGTTCACTTCAGCGAAATAGTCATGGTTGTGGATTTCAGTAACATTTTTGAACCGATGATCCTTTGCAGCAACGAGTCGAGTAATGAAGTCCCAAGTACGTCGGGAAAGATAATAGTTCGGATCTTCGTATTGTGGCTTGCGCAACACATCTTTCCAATTCTTCAGGTTCTGCCATGTTTCATCCACGGTTGCTCCAGCAAATGGAGGGTAGCCGGTCAGAGCTTCAAAGAGCATACACCCTAGGCTCCAGTAGTCAACGGTGAAATCGTACTCCTCACCGCTCAGTACTTCGGGAGCCATGTAATCAGGAGACCCGACAATTGATTTGGCATAGTTAACATCCAACTTCCGGAGTGATCGATAACCTTCACGTCTTTCAGCGGCAGATCGTTGCTCCATCGGCCGGCCAAATGGTACAGCGGTCTTGCCAACCTCCTCTAGCTTCAATCGCATAGACTCAATCTTGGTAGGATTAAGCATTCCCGCTGCCAATCCAAAGTCCGTCAACTTAACGTGTCCGGTGGAGTCGATGAGGAAGTTCTCCGGCTTCAAGTCTCGATGGATGTATCCAAGGACATGGAGAGCATCCACGCAGGCTACCATCTCTGCAATATAGAAGCGAGCGTGTCGGTTATGGAGGACTCCTGTGTTGTTGAGTAGAGTACGGAAGTCACCTCCTGGCACGTATTCCATGGCAAGGTATATTTGAGTTTCATCCTGAAAAGCATAGAGAAGTTTCACCAGCCATTCGCTTTTTGCGGTCGTTAGGATGTCGCGCTCCGTCAAAATGTGCCTAATCTCGTCCATCTTGAAAAGCAGCTTTTTGCTCATGACTTTTAGCGCGCACACTTCCCGAGTGTCCTTCTTCTGCGCAAGATACACCTGACCATAGCCACCCTGGCCAACCTGGGTAAGAATCTGAAAGTCTCCATGTCGCAGACGGGTTCTCCGTTTCCGAAGGTTGGCACGTTCTCGGCCCAAATATTTATGGCGTGCGACTTCGTACTCTGCTTCATCTGTCTCAGGTGGAGGCGGGTAGGCAGCAGCAAATTGGGCGCTGCGTAATTGCCGGTTCTGAACATAGCTGAGAAGGTTAAAGTAATGATCAAGGAAATCTTTTTACTAGGTTAGTACACATACAACAATCATGGGAAAGACAAGGTGGAAAACTAACAGAGCTGCGTGACATTGGCAAGACGCTTGACTTTTGGTTGCTGCAACTTCTCCAGTTCCTCAGCAGTTAGGCCTCTGATTTGAGTTTGTGGTTTTCTAATGCCAGTCTCAATCCGATCGCCTGCTTGATACTGCTCTCGACGCGACATGGCAGCATGGCTTAAAGTATTCCCTTCCTTTCCTGACCGCAGCCCAGGAATTGGAGCATTCTCCTTATTCGACAGTCGGCTAGGGCTCCCGGGCCTGACAGACTCTTCTCTTCCTTCATTGTATGCAGTCAAATCGTCCACCTGGCCGCGTCCCGGTGACAGTGGCGATTTACCAAAACCGGACTTGGATGGCGAAGACGGAGTGAGCCTCATGGCATTGTCAAACACATTGACAAGTCCTGTAGCACCAGGAGGCACTTTGTTTTTACTTGGACTGCCTTGCGGGGTGTTGGCAGGACTGATGAAGCCAGCCTGAGGCTGAGGGGGGGTTAGGGGCCGCTCATAGGGCTCGTTGCCGGACCGCGTATTAAGCATCGGTGGAAGATGGGGGGTCGCCTGCTTCCCGAGAGAGTACGGTGGTATATTATTCGCATCCATCGCCGAGTCGATGATGGAGTAGGATGGGCGTTGCTTGTTGATAGTGCTGCGGAATTGAATGTTGATATTTATCGCCTCTGCCCCGCGAAGGAGGATAGGCTCGCTGGCTCTGGCTCTCGCTCGCTCGTGCTGCGGTTGGTTGCGTGTGTGGCTGCCACGAAAGCAGATTGCACGCAGCTAAGATCGATAGTTAGCTAGCTCAGTAACTAATCTTTGATGGCTGTGTTAGCGACAGCGATCTGGCTAGGGTCAGGTTATCATTCGTTCACTAAAGTTGGCTTGAGATCGCAAGCTGCAAGTTGGAGATGGAGTTGCCAGGGCAACTTGCTTAGTCATTGTATTAGTCATCATATGGGAAAGGAACACCGCACGGTTAAGAGGGAGTATATAGTAGCATAGAAGGAGTAGGAGTAGGAGTAGCAGGTTAATATGCATATAAGCTAAAAATGGGAAGTCTGGTGGTTCATTAGATTGCTCTTACATGGTAAGCTGTGACTGTTGAGATTAAGATACTATACAAACTATCATTGAACCTGTGGGTATCAGTGATATCTATATATTTTGGTAGATAAGAAATCGGTGGAAATGATAACCCCTGGTTGATACTCCGTACATCATATTAATGACTTAGTTTTTGTCAAACTGCTGTTAACTTTCAATTCCGGTGCCCTGATTGGTGCCAGGACCGGCCTCATTCTTCTTTAGTTTGGTTTACATTAACAGCCGCTATGGCATACGGAGTATATAGTGTTGAACTAGAAAGCAACGATGCTTAGAGAATGATGGCATTCTTTGACACATAATTATGTCGTATGGGGCATGTTCAATATAACCAACTGATAGCCATGATGATAACAATCTTCGTTATTTCTGGTATGACGAATCCACAGACCTATAATAGTTGGAGCCGGGCCAATTCCCGAGGGGTTAATATGATCCTCAGAGTCAGACTTTATTGAAGCGATCCGTAACTCGGCTAGCCTTGGGTATGGCATGTCTATGTCTGTGATCACTCCAGTCTGAGCTTACCCTGCGTCATCATTTTCATCTACTCCCCGAATCAGCCCGACAGCTTCATAACTACTAACTTAACTCTATCCGTGATCCATGCATGTCTCATCTTCAGCGGAACAGATTTCTTGTTCGCCCCGTAAACAGTGACTGGCGCGAAGATAAGCCGCCTTGGGTCGCCACTGGCAACCTTGGGGGTGGTCCCTTTGATAGTGCTGGGCTAATAGGAACATAGCCCATGTGGAAGTTCCTACTAGTACTCCGTATAAGATTGACAATCGATTCATGCCGAGTGAGTAAAGGTTCGATACCCTCCACTATGAGAACAAGACTGTTTCGAGCATTGTTAACAGGCAACGGGAATCACCTGGAGTAAGCCGATATCCGATACTAAAATCCACTCCTCGGTAACTATCGAGGTAGCTAATTTCCGATCGGCCACTGTAAAAGTTAGGCTGGTTTGGATTGGACATCCACAAGATGCACCTAATGGATGGTAGAGAAAACTATCTTACCAACTTCTGTGCCTTTGACCTTTCCCGAAGTCTCCCGCAGTAGCATATGTAGCATGGCAAAGGCCTTGGGTGATGTTACACCTAGATCAGATCCCTGATGGGGGCATTAGTGAGGTTCCCTGTAATAACAGGAGAGTTTGAAATAGCGACCTCTTTCACGAGCCTTGTTTTCGATAACTATTTGCCAAGTAGTTATTATAGCTTAGCACTCTCCTCCCACATGGCCACCGTCATGCATAGAAGAAGATTGCGTGCAGCCGGCAGGGACGGTGACTTTTCGAAAGGAACCCACGCATCATGTAGTTAGTCGGTACCCCTGTCTCTACTTGTTCTTCTCCTCTCCTCTCTCTCTCTCTCTCTCTCTCTCTCTCTGTGTGTGTACGTGTGTGTCTATCTCTTTCAGACAATTCCAGACATGGGACGGTCGTCGAGATGGTGGTCACTACTCCGTATTCTACCATGCTTTCAGGGGTTGATATAAAACCCATATCTCTCTCCACTTTTAGGCAGAAACACACCCCGTATGTAAGGATTGAATATGCTTCAAGAGAGCCCCTTGTTCCCATCTTGTCGTCCCATCGTCTGGTTCCCCCAACCGGATTTTCATCCTCTGGTTAAATGAAGTGGTGGCGAATATCTTTCTCCCTGCCCATGCTTTGCCTAACTCGCAGTCAGTGATCCGCGGTTAGGTTGTGCATTTGGTATCCATGGGAAATCGAGCCAGACTTGCGGCCGAACGGTCCCGTAAAGAAGCATCAGCTTCCAGGCACTCGCTGCAGCTACCAAAGTCTGGACTCGCTGAACTCGCTCGCTGGCGTCACATCAACCATAAAAAAGGAGATGAAAAAAGAAAACGTTGAGATTAGATGGCAAAGAAAAGAAAATAATCGATGATGTATCGGTGTAACACGTCTGTATTGATACGTCGTCCCCAACTGGAGGCAGCAGTAATTCTCGTGTCACGTTTCGTATGCGGAGAATTATCGGCTCTTTGTGGAGATGGAAATTGCCTACGGAGTATTTCCACAGAATCTTCAAGCTTGCAGCGCAGACGAACGAAGACACCAGAGCCAGAAGAAGGAGAAGAAGAGGAAGAAGAAGAAGAAGAAGAAAAGAAAAGAAAAGCAGTGAAGAGAAAAAGGCTGTCGGACAGAGCTGGTCGTCTTCCGGTCTGACAGTGAGGAAGCTGACGACTGCGCGCGAGGAATCCCGGCCTGCTGAGAAAGGGGACCATGTAGCTAGATATAAATCCTGTGCCTCCCGAGTTATCCCCGTGGACAGGCGTGGACGCCGCCCCGATGCTTCATGGACATATCCTCAAGTGAAGCTACTCGACCTTGCGACCTCAGGCAGGACGCTGCGATCGCCCGCGGGCAGCCCAGCTGTCTTCGATCGTTTGATGCGCCTGCGCCTGATAGCCTGGCACAGGAAAAACCGAAGCAGTCAAAGAGCCGCAACGGTATGTTTCTTATACCTCCTTATAGTTATAAGCCCTGGGCTACTATAGCTAAGAGCCAGGCCTATCTTTGCCTTTTGATATATAGTTTCCTGTTCATGCTGACTCTGCTGATATAGGGTGTGTAACGTGCAAGGCAAAGAGACTTAAATGTGACGAGACGAAACCGACGTGCCTTCAGTGTCAGAGGAGAAATGTCCCCTGCGGCGGATATAAGAAAAACTACAAATGGCTGTCCTTCGAGGAGTCCAGCTATACCAGAAGGCCAAAACCAAAGGCCCAAAAGCTAGGTTCTGAAGAACGGGAATCTCAGTATGTCAGGCAGTATAAATGCCGTTTTATCAATGTCACGGCCGAAGATGTGCCGCGTACACAACCGGCAGTGGATGGCTCCCCTTCAGCTAGTGCATCTGGTGCAAGTTTTGACAGTCGGGTAACACCATTGCTGGAGGGATTGGATATTCATGGAAATAACACTACCTCCAAGACCACACCTGGCGGACTAAATCAGAGGCCATCGACCAGAGTCACTGCCTCGTTTAGTCAGTCGTCAGGGAGTTTCACCCCAGCCTTCACACCAGAGACACACACTTTCACTCCAAAATCCCCCTCACCACACACGGACTCCGAAGATGACGGCGTGGAAGCAATTGTTCGACAAGACGTCGCCAAAGAGCTCACCAATCTCAAAAGAAAACGACATGGACCACTATTCCACATACCGAACATACCAATTACCGCGCTATTAGATTCCCGTGCAGACAACGCCGAAATGCTCCTGCTCAGGTTTGATCAGCATACCTGCGGTATTCTCTCAGTCAAAGACGGCGTGACCGAAAATCCATGGCGGACGGCGGTTACTCCCCTAATACGAGATACGCCCGCTCTATATCATGCAGTCTGTGCACTGGCTGCCTTCCATTCAACGAAGGAAAATGCTGCATTTAAATACCTTGGGATGGACCACATGCGCCAAAGCGTCCGAACCCTAGCTGTGAATATAGAGAACATGAACATAGATGCTGCCTTGGCCACAACACTCGCTCTGGCATTTGCGGACACATGGGACACACATGTCTCAACTGGGGTGCAGCATCTTCGTGGAGCTAAAGTGCTGTTTGACAGGGCCTTGGCCAGACACAGCCATATGCCGCTCTCACCCAACGACCAGTCCCGTCTGATGTTTCTATATAACAGCTGGATGTACGTTGCAGTCATCGCCCAACTAACCACCAGCGAAGACACTGGATTTGATCAGGTTCCATCCCCCCTTTTTTTCGCTCCTCAAGTGCAAGAAGTTGACCCTTTATTGGGTTGCGCAGCCACCCTATTCCCGTTAATTGGTCGCGTTGCCGTCTTGGCCCAGAAAGTTCGCAAAACAACAGTGAATTCAGCTGCCATTATCTCTCAGGCTATGGAGCTCAAAACACTCATTGAACAGTGGGCTCCTCCCAAGTATTTTAAACCACCGGAAGACCCAACATCAAATATCCGGGACAGCTTCCTGACCGCTCAAGCCTACCGCTGGGCGACTTTGCTCCACCTGCATCTAGCTGTCCCTGAAATACCCTCTGAACCTACGAGTGAGCTAGCGAGCCGGATTCTTGTTCTTCTTGGTAGTATTCCTCTGGGTTCTCGGACCATAATTGTCCAGATATTCCCGCTTCTGGCCGCCAGTTGCGAAGCCGACAGCGAGGAAGACAGAAACTGGGCAAGAGCTCGCTGGGCACAGATGCAGCAACGAATGGCGATTGGAAATATCGATCGATGTTTTGAGGTTGTCTGTGAAGTTTGGAAACGTCGAGATGCGCATAATGTCGCCATTATAAGCCACCAATCCGACGCGCACTCTCTACCTCTTAGTACTCCGGCGCCCGGGACTTGCAGTCGACATGACAGCGTAATAGAACCACTTATCTTCGGCAATACTTTGGCTCAGGACAGGCAGGATTTTCGCTGCATCTCTACGGCTGATGATATCAATGCAGCTTCGTTTTTGCTGCTTCCTGAAACATTCAGTCAAATGCCGTCACTTACCCCGAGAGCATCTCTACCATCTAGCTGCGGCAATAGATCTTCAGACCCAGGTGGTAGTTTTGTCGAATACGAAAGGACTGTTCGAGGCCATCTACACTGGTTAAGTGTTATGGCAGACTGGGGCTGGGAAGGTTCGTACTTCGTGCCTGATGACTTTCTTTCTTGAAGGTGTACTAACATCCGAATATAGTCTTACTTGGCTGAGTCCTTGATACACTAATAACACTCTTCTCCTATCATCCATTTCCGAGCTAAAGATAATGCTTGTTTTACACTGCGAATAGTATGGGTAGCCTATCCTTACCTTTCTACCTATTGTGATGATTAACATACCCCTTGGCCTTGCTTTCTTTTTACAGTTGCTTAAGCAGTTCGTTTCTGGATTTTGGGTATCGGATTTTAGATTAATGAGAAAGGCTATCACACGGGTTTTGGCTTATGTATCTACTACGGAAGAATTAAAGATCTTTGCTAATGTTTATTAAATTGGTTTTATATAACTGTTCGTAGTCTCTAGGGAAGGATGGAAAGGGTCAAATTGAATATAGTACTTAACGTCTATCTGGATACACAAGATAGGCGGGCTAGGCGCTTAGAGTAGTTAAGGTTTTGAGCACTAGACGCCAACTTCCCTTCCTTCCCTGTGCGGCTAATTAGAGACAAGAAACATAAAACATCAACCTTCAGAACATAATCTTTCAAAGCAGCACTTTCATTATGATAACTAATAACTTCACACCCACCAGTTCCTCTTCTTTGGTGACTTATCTTTCATGAAAGCAATCGACAAGATCGATGTAACGAAGCAGATACCACCTAAATATGTCGATTAGCATCGATCACAGCAACCACCTCGCAATAACGAGAAAACTTACACAGAGTTGAAGTCATACGACCATATCCTAGATTGTCTGCTAAAGACCCAGATAAGAGGGGTCCTATGAACTGGCCTAGATTAAAACTCCCATTAGAAAGGGAGTGGCCTCGCGAATTTCCGCCCTTGGGGCCGAATATTCCCGGAGTCTCTGATTCAAGGTGCTCCATTACGGCTAAGATGACACCAATCAAGTTAGCAAACAGCACGATTAATAGGATGAAACAATTCTTGGCCGTTTACCAGTTATCTCCGCTGCCCCGACACTTGCTGGGAGGTTCTGGATACATCCTATACAGATGATAACAATGACATATACCAGCTTAACCGTATCCTCGGAACCGGACCATGGGAGCCATTTTTGATTCACTGCTCCGAGAAGCCAGAGCAGTGGAGCCAACAGAATAAAACCCAGGCCTGTGAGCACTTTATTCCCTCCTCTCCTTCGGATCCATCCGAATAGAGGGTCAAGGACCATTCCTGGCGCCTGGAGTGCTACAAACATCATACCGGCGGGAAAACTACCCCACCCAAACATATCTCGCACATGTGTGGGGAGTGTAGTGTTGAAACTAGCCATCAGAGAGGAGCGGGTCATATAGGACACAAGTCCAATAAGAATCATAGGCTGACTGAGCAGTATCCAGTAGAAGGAGAACATGGATGTACAACCTTCCTTCATATCACGTATTGCCTTTGCGAGGCTGTAGGGCGTTTTTGAAGCATTGGCAATAAGGGAAGTGTACTCATTTACTCCCTCCGTCAGCGAATCAGCGTTCCTGCTTTCGTCGTCCTTTGCTTTGGCGCGTTTTCGCTTATCTTTGATCTTTGGATGTTCGATCATCAAAAGCCTCAACACAATATCTAGGGAAAGGATCCCAAATACTATCCTCCAGGTCTTCCAATATCCAAAGTATTCGAGCATAAACCCTGATACCGCTGGACCAGAAAACGCACCGGCACTGATAAAGACGTTTACCAGGCCTAATATCATACCCATGTTTTGTGGTTTAACGACGTCATTGAGTGTAGCATGCCCCACAACCTGGGACACGGTACTGCCCACGGCCTGTACTATACGCCCAATGAAGACATTTATGACTAATGGGGATGATTAGTTTTGTGCCAACGTAGGTGCCAGGGGTATGGTCTCATACGATTTGTGGACGTTGCAAGAATGGATGTCCCGAGGAATGCAATTCCTAACCCGGTTGCTAGGATAAGTTTGGGGTACTTAAATCTATCCGTCAACTGCCCGATTACAGGTCCAGATACCACTGCTGTGGCGCCATATGCTGTGAGTATCAAGTACGTCAACTGCTGCGTATCCTTGGGGTCGACATTGTTACGCTTCTCCAGGATATACGGGAGAATAGGGATCACGAAACCGTGGGTAAATGTTTCTAAAAGGTTCAGGTCATTACTAGGGGGTTTTCCTTTACCACATGTGGAGATTATGGCCGTGTACTCCGTAAGAGTGCCTATATCAAGAATCGAAAGGAATAAAGGCCATACCTGCAAACAGTGTTATGACGACACATACTACCGTGAAAGATGATGAGGACCTCCAGCTATAACCCCATGGTTTCTTGGCTCTTTTAAATATTTTGAATAAGGCCATCTCTGTCGATGCCTTCTTGAAAATACCCCAACTAAGTGATGAGGGCTCTCTTCGAAATTTGTGTGTTTAGCTTCACGGCCCTGATGGATAATAAGTACGGAGTACAGAGGAAACTTCCCGGCTGCCTACGACGTGCTCGCTCCCTCTTCAATCACGAGAATATGCACGGTGCATTGATTGGTGTAACCAAACACGAACAATTGAAGGCTTGATATGCCACGATAGGCTACTAAACTAGACTAGCACTGGCCCGACCTCACTGATGCTACCTAATTAACTAGTTGGCAAGCTGAGAATGCTGTGGCTGACTGACCCAACGAATAGCACGATGGCTTGAAAATCAGTCAGTTATACTCTGTATAGCTATAAGTATCCTACAGAAAGCTCAGGAGAGACATCTGCCATGGATCTCTTGAGTTGATAAGTTTTCCTAACCGCCTAAGCCCATAATGTCCATAATATATGAACCATTCCGTACCTTAACACAAACACCATCTTAGCTTTGTTGTAAGCGTGATCAATCCCCTTCCAAGGTTTAAACTCCAAGCTAGTGGTTCTGGCCCCACATTTACGACCCTGCCAAGCCGGAAGCGGAAAGGTTGAGCGTTTATTCTTCGTCGCAGTACAACAACCCATTGATTGACGGACTCAAGAAATAGCCATTATATTCATCGAACAGATGTGCTAAGGATGATAATGACAATGGATCACGGGCTTATAAAGGATCTCACATATATCTTTGGGAGCTACGAGTACGAATTGAAGGGATGAGATATGATAGTTTTTTCTCAATTATTGGGCATTTCTTGGCGTGACCAAGGCGCTCGAGCTTTTTGGGTTGAAAGTGATCCCTACCATCAAATCAAAGACTAGCACGATGTAGATCTTCGTTATATGATTACCCCCCTCTAGTCAACATATTGGGCCGAAATTTTGGGAAGCTATGGACTTATCGGGGTTATACCTGGAGTGTGTCCAGGCTTTGACAGTCGGCCATTCACGATCGATTCTTGAGATATTTCTTGAAAAGTTACGGTGTACGGATGACAGTACCGAACACTCCGAGTGAGATAATCCGCATTTCGGGTATGGAGTACTCCGTACGGAGTACTTGAGCCGTTGAACGGATCCGCCGGCCAATAATCTTGCCTCCGTTTCTGTGCTTTTATTGCTTGGTATTCTGTAGGCCACGCTGGAGTGTGATCTAGGAATTTTGCTGAGGCATGGGTTGGCTTTGGGATAAGCAAATGCTCTGTACTCCGTACTCCGTAATGGCGCTCAAGCTCATCGTCTCATGCAGAATTGAAGAAGGGTTAGGTGAGCGCCTAGTATCCGGTTAACCTTATTGTGGGTAATCAACAGTAGCAATGGAAGCTACCATAGGTATGGAAGCAGGGAGGGAGGGTATCGAGAAAATATCGTAGGGTAAATCATAGTAAACAGAGTATTTGCGTGGTAACATCCAATTCGTTTTGAGGAATGGAGAATGCTTCGTGACGAAAGGCTTCAATCGTGATCAAGAAATCCCTGAGCAATTAGCAAGATACTTCCAATCGCAAAAAAGCGGCATACTTTCGGAGGGCAGAAGGAATAGATATCAAATAGTAGTACAGCCTAGTTGTTCGAAATTCGCAGTGCCAAAATCCCAGAACGCGTCTCTTTTTTTATTGCTGTCTCTCAGAACTCGTTTCTGTGCAAAGATATTGCCAACCTTGGAAGGAACAGAAGGTATCACGTGCACTCCCGACCGCGTTTGTCAATGCGCTTATCGGGCGCGTCTAGCGCGTCTAGGCTTTTTGTGTTAATTTTGGCTCAAACACGACAGCAAAAGACAAACGACATCAAGCTCTTTGACGAAGATCAGGGTCAAAAGGGGGCCGTTTCTAGAGAAGGGTTTCCGGGGGCGCATTCAAGGGTGTATATGACAGGGCGAGGGAGTTCCTAGGTGGTTCCTCGTCCCCGGGGGTTATTGGCCTGGAAGTCTGCCTCGGAAGGACGCGCTATTGAGAACAGGCCAAGAGAACAAACTCCCAGTCTCCCTTTTTTTCTCTCTTTAGCTAGCGATAAGCGGGCAAACGACGGATTATCCTAAACGGAGCGAGCTTATCGGCGCCAACCCAAATATCTCGTTCAAGGACTCGTCCCGTCTGGTGTTTTCCGCGTTGGATCGCGACACGAGAAAAGCAAGGGAGGAACCACGACTACTAACTAGTGGAGTCTCGCCTTCGAAGACGCTTTATATTCTCTTCCTCTTCCCTTTTCATTCTTTCTTACCTTCTCCTCCTGCGGCGCTTCTGCATCGACATCGCCTGCATATCCTATCTACGCCATGAGTGACTCGCGTCAGGCGGACCATGAGGGCGATGCATCCGCTCCCACCGTCGCGACGGAGCCGGATTCTAGCAACAGTTACTCCTTTCTGATACATTCCAACAAGACATTGACCCAGGATCTTCCACCCAAAGTCGATAGCAAAGTTTACATTCGCCAGCGTCGTCGGCGAACCAGGTACGTGTCCTGGCTATACTGACCGCGTGACGAGGTGATGCTAACTATGAGACCGACAGCCCCGAGGACCATGCCGTTTTAGAAGCAGAATACAGACTGAACCCAAAGCCTGACAAGGCCACCAGAGCAAGTATCGTCAGCAGAGTCTCTTTGGGTGATAAGGAAGTTCAGGTACGGCCGCAGTCAGTTGACCTCGCTGTGGCCTGCCACACATTAACAGTCCCCGCTTTATAGATATGGTTTCAAAACAGAAGGCAGAACGACAGGCGAAAGTCCAAACCAATACATCCCAATGAACTATCTCCCAATACACAAGAACTCGAAGGCTCTCAGAAAACTGTAGATGCTAGCCCCCCGAACACACAGAATGAAAACCCAAGTTCCAGTGCCCCTCATGATTCCTACGATAATATTCTCGGCACACCATCTCAGTCTCTCTCCAACTGCCAGTGTGAACAAAATATCGCCTCCTCGCAACTCGAAAGCTCACAGACTTCTACTACATCTACCAAATCTCAAACAGACCGGTGCAGCTTTTGCTCTCCCCTTATCGAATCAAGATTACGTGGCCAGCTTTCCTCCGGTAAGAGGAAGCGTGCAGATTCAGGCGTGAGCGGACTAGGGGTTGGCGGATTTGAGAATGGACGAAGGTCACTTGGCTCCACCGATTCGCCCTCTCTGCGTCTTTCTCTTTCCTTTGACGGCGAAGCAGTGGTTCGTGGAGAAGATGAAAAGACTCCTTCTCCTCCCAAGATTCGCGATTCTTTGAGAATTGCTTTCTCTGCAGATGGCGAAGCAGTTGTTCGAACTGCAGGAGAGCCGTCGCCGTCTCCTTCACGGAACCGTACATCGACTCCACTCTCTCTCCAATCCCGACTTAAAGGCCTTCGACGGACAAGCAGTGCTATCTCCTTTGGATCTAAATCGCCGGATGCTGCTAACATATTCGGACGGTCTCGGGATTCACGTAGATGGGAATTATACTGCGACACGGACGCGCGTAGCGCTCTCTCCTCGCCTAAAATGACACCCGATGGAACAAGAAGTGCCGGATCCTCTCGCAGGAGAGCCTCAAACGCAAACACACGCATATTATCGCCATGTGCTAATCTTCCGAACACTTTGCTACCCAATGGTCCACCCCAGAAGCGAAAAAAGCTATCCCGCGCTGTGTCCTCTCTTGGCCGACTAGAGACTGAGCCATCATTAGAAACGGCTAGCATCACTAAACTTAATACCACTCAGGGCAACAGAAACCAGAAAACGAAATCTAAGCCAGATCTCCACAATGGTGACTCTGACAAAGAGAACTGGCTTCCAGGCACACAAACCATAGGTCCCCGACGTCGACGGCCACAACAGACCACCCAATCGCAAAATCGCGTCCTTCAGACATCGGGGGATGCCCGGCGTGAAGGTAATCGGATTATTGGACGGGGAACAACAGCTCCTCAAAAGGCCAACGACAAAAACAAGGACGATGGACTTAGTGGTCAGCCATCCGTTCCTAGCTCAGGTTCAAACCAGGAAGAGGATCTTGACTGCATTCAAGGTTTGCTCTCCCTGAGCCAGGGTGCTTGGAAATGAAGCTATATAGAGCAACTTTATGACTGCGTGTATGTTTGCGTAATAACGGCTTTCTTTCTTTTGTTCTTTCCTTTTGTTTCTCTTCTTGGAGGATGCTTGTCTTACATAGGGATACCTTTTTTCTTCTTTTGGGCGCATTATCAACAGGATACTTATTCATCTTTCTCTGATTCGATCCCTCGGCCTTGTATCCTGTCTATGAGCCTGGTGGCCCTGGGGACCACAGGGCGTGACTGTTCATCCTTGCCTGCAGTGCATCATCACTTGCATCTCCAATCCTTCAATCTTTGATTCATGAAAACTGCTTCGTCGTCTTGGAGACCTTCAGTAGAATTTGGGCGAATCGCATAAGACTGGCCGGTACAGCCATGTCCACCAAGTCTTCACCCTTCGACCGAGAAAATGCCGGCAATTTTTTCTCCTACAGCCACGGGGGGTCAGTCTGCACGATCAAACTCGAACGAAGCCGATCTTGGGCATATTAATCGGGGGGAACTAGAGAACCATGCCAACGGCCATCGGCAAAGTTCTACACCCGTTGGTGGAAATGAAGCTTAACCTTCCATTTGTCTAAAGCCATCAAGATCACGGCCTATCAGCAGTCTTCCACGCCGAAATTATTTGCATGATATTCAACACAAGGTCTTTCTCGCCATGAAATGCAGCATCATATGGATGTTAAGTTACTTTCCGCATCAGGGCAATAACACGCGTGAAGGTGAAACTCGACGATGAGACTATTACTGGGGTTTGAGCGCCTTTTCTGACAGGCCAGAAAGCCCCCGTTTCTCTCCGCAATATGATAAGACTACTACTCCGGACGGGCGTCCTATGATAATCAACAGAGACACGTTTGCTGCGGCTATCAACTGTTGGCATACTCAGCGACCTAGGTGTACAAGGCATATATATGTAGCTTCCCAGCCGCATTCACTCGGGTTTGCATGTGGAAGACTTCGGCTGCTCGCACATTGCATTATCCAACTTCAACTCCCCCTTAACACTATAATAGGCTTAGGGACGTTATATTGGTTTCTATGTTCACTATGATAATGTCATCATTAGCAGCTCCTTATCGAATCGGTGTCGATGTCGGCGGCACCAACACGGACTGTGTCATACTGGATGTTCGTACGACAAGCGCAGCAAATCGCGGGGTGGTTGCTCTACATAAAACCCCAACTACAAGTCCCAATGTTACTGATGGAATAGAAACTGCCGTCTTCAATGTCCTTGAGCAGGCCAACGTCCCAAGAGATCAAATTGCCTGTTTAACCATCGGTACAACGCATTTTATTAACGCCATAGTGGAACATGATGTTCGACGCCTATCTAAAGTGGCCATCATCCGGCTTTCCAAGAGCTTCACAAAAGAGGTACCTCCGTTCTCCGACTTCCCGCCAGTTCTCAAATCGATTATGAATGGCTATTACACCTGCATTGATGGCGGACTCACCATTGACGGAGCGGCAGAATCGCCTATAAATGAAGCCCAGGTGGTTAAAGAATGTGCCAAAATCAAAGAATTGGGGCTAGATGCAGTTGTCATATCTGGTGTATTCTCCCCAATCGACAAACACTTCTTCCAAGAATACAGTGTTCGAAAGATCGTTCAGAGAGAGCTACCGGGAGTTGATATTGTTTGTTCCTCAGATGTCTCCCAGATTGGATTCCTCGAACGTGAGAATGCATCGATTCTAAATGCCTCTATCCTCAAGTTTGCACGGCGCACAATCCGAGGCTTCAAGGCAGCAATGAAACGATTGAGCTTGAGTTGTCCTTTATACCTTACCCAGAATGATGGAACTCTGATCGATGCCACTTCCGCGGCAAGTCTTCCTATACGCACTTTTTCCTCTGGACCAACCAATTCTATGAGAGGAGCGGCATTTTTAGGACTTAGCGGGCAAGATAATACCGAAGAAGAGCGTACGGCAACAATTGTAGTTGACATCGGCGGCACGACTACAGACGTTGGAATCTTGCTCCCATCTGGATTCCCCCGCCAGGCTTCTGCATACGTCGAAGTTGCTGGCGTGAAGGTCAATTTCGGCATGCCCCATGTAGAATCCATTGGCCTTGGTGGCGGTTCCATAGTTCGTTCAAAGGGAGCCAAAACTACCATCGGGCCAGATTCTGTAGGCCATTGCCTTAGCACCAAGGGCACCGTGTTCGGAGGAGACACTCTTACAGCAACAGACATTGCTGTGGCTGCTGGAGCCAAAATTGGCAACTGCGACTTGGTCAAGGATATGGCGAAGGAAGTGGTTTCCGCTGCGCAGGCAAGAATAAAATCCATGTTGGAGACTGTTATTGACCAAATGAAAACTTCACCGGCTCCTTTACCTGTGCTGCTAGTTGGAGGTGGTTCAGTGTTAGCCCCAGCAGAACTAGAGGGCGTGTCCGAGGTCATCTTCCCTCCGTTTTATTCGGTTGCAAACGCTGTTGGCGCCGCTATGTCCAAGGTTGGAGGTACGGTCGACTCCATTGAGAGCACTGCTGAAAAGCCAGTTTCCGAAGTAGTGGAAGAAGCTAAAGCAAGGGCGATTGAAAAAGCGGTTGCCTCTGGTGCCATCAGAGAGACAGTGTATCTGGCAGAGGTTGATTCTATGCCACTTCAGTACGTCGCAAACCAGGTCCGCGTTATTGCGCGCGCTGTGGGTGAACTATCGCCTGAAGGTGTCCCAACTCTAGACAACCCACAAAATGGCGGAGATGGTTGTGAAGGTGATGATACGATATACATCGAAGCTCCTAAACAGAATGTTGAGACCAGTGACTTCAATATTAACTCAATAGATGTTGCTACATATCGCCCGAAGGTCGTAAAAAATCCTGAAACTGGGATTCACGAATGGATCGTCTCCGAAACAGACGTCACCTGGCTTGCTGATGGGTGTTACGTCCTAGGATGCGCCGGCGGAGGCTCACCATTCAGCGAACACCTTCGAATACGTGATCAACTACGAGAAGGACACACTGTACGTATCATTGACCCGTACTCTGTGAAGAAGGATGCTTTGATATATTGTGAGTTTATTCCTTTCTTCCCATGATTTGATTCATTGGTCCTAATTTCAATTAAAGGGGGTGGTCATATGGGCTCTCCAGCAGTCTCTGTAGAACGACAAGCAAACAACGAGACCGAGCAATCCATCCATGCTCTTATGGAGTATCTCAAACACGACAGCTTTGATGCCGTAATGGGACTAGAAATCGGCGGCGGCAATGGTATCCTACCACTTTCTATTGGTTCATCAAAGCATTATGACCGCCCTGTAGTTGATGCCGATTGGATGGGTATGTATTTGTCTTTTTTTCCAATTGACATTCCCGATTTTAATTCCTTCTCGTGTAGGCCGTGCCTACCCAACATTCTGGCAAACGACTATATGTGTTTATCAGCCTGGCGAGCTAGTGCCTTGCTCTATCTTTTCCGCCAGTGGGAACACAATTATTATGAATAAGTGCTCAAGCGATGAGTTTGTTGATCGAGCATTACGCGCCTCGTGTGCCGAAATGGGGTCCAGTGTAGGTTTGGCTGCCCGTCCTACTACAGGAGAAAAGATGTTAAAGTTTGGTATACTTAATACCATGTCCCTTGCATGGCGTATTGGGCGCTGCATCGCGCGGGCAAACGCCAGCAACACCATTAGCACCGTGGCTGAACAGATGATTGACGAGGTTGGCGGTCCTGAATCTGGTAAAATTCTATTCCGAGGAAAAATTGTTGCCGTTGAAAGACGACTGTTTAAAGGCCACTCATACGGCGAAATCACAATCCAACAAGTTCTCCAAAGCGAAATCGAGTCAAATGGAGCAGACCAACTCTCGGAGGAAAGCAGGCGATCATCAGTGCCTGTAGCTACAGGCGGTGTGTTAAAGATTCCTTTCAAAAACGAAAATATCTACGCCAAACATGTTTCAGAAGAAGGCGTCGAGAAATATGTGGCTATGGTCCCTGATCTGATCTGTGTTCTCGACACGCAGTCCGGAAAGGCACTTGGAGTCCCTGAATTCAGATACGGCGTCATGGTGACTGTGCTAGGAATTGCATGTTCACCACGATGGTCAGATACCGAGCGAGCCCTAGAAATTGGTGGCCCAGGGGCGTTTGGATATGAGGATATCAAATACGTTCCTTTGGGTAAATATGTAGAGCCAAAGAGCGTTGTGATGGAGTATGCAGAGCACTAAATAGAGTAATTCCATTCTATACGGCTAATTATCCGATATAATCGTCTAGAACAGTCAATTGAGTATTTTCTCTTTAATGTGGTGTTTCCTTGAAATGTGCTACTAATGACGTAGCTGGGACTAGTTATAGGCTTTTATGACTTCATCTGACCAAAACAGGAATACACAGGAAACACAAACGATAAAATTGTAGAGATAAATAGTCGGCCTAGAATTCGAGAAGGCCAGAGTAATATCGCAAGCCTGTGTTTGTTGATAATTGGGCATACGTAGCCAATATACGCTGACGTCGGTATAGTGAAGATGGCACTCTCATCGCATGTAGGTTTAATCTACAGGGAGCGCAGGAACCAACGCAACAACCAATTCACACAATTTGATTACAAGGTTGCTAATCTTGACGATTGTACGGATAGGTTGACCCTGATGCTATCATCAAACAATTCCGAGAAGATTTCGACAAAGAACAGGAGCAGGAAGCTGCTGGAATCTTTACGTCGAATGCGGTCTCATCCGTAACTCCGTATTCAACGAGATACTCTAGCAGGGAGGAGATACCTAAATTCAAAATCCCTAAGCTAGGTGCTCGTGCGGATGCGGTGCACCATATGTTGAGCAATGAGCTCGATCTGGATGGCATCCCGAACTTAAACATGGCAAGGTATATGCAACCCGTTGCTACTCTTGATCCCCGAAGAAAATGCGGCTGCTAAAGGGTATGGACATATAGTTTCGTTGGCACTTACATGGACCGAGAAGCAAATCAGCTTGTGGTAGAGAATATCAGTAAGAACCTAGCAGATGCAGACGAGTATCCTGCGTTAATGGCTATACACGCACGGTGTATTTCCATGATATCCAACCTGTGGCACCCTCAATCAGGAGAAGAAGCCACTGGATCCGCTACCACCGGGTCCTCTGAAGCTATCATGTTGGGCGGACTGGCTATGAAAAAGAATTGGCAGCAGAAGCGTAAGGATGCAGGGAAAGACACATCCACTCCTAATATCATCATGGGGTCGAATGCTCAGGTGGCCCTTCTTAAGTTCGCCCGGTACTTTGATGTCGAAGCCCGCATACTGGATGTTTCTGAGAAGAGCCAATTTCGCCTCGACCCAGACTTGGTCAAGAAAAATGTGGACGAGAATACCATCGGGATATTTGTGATTCTTGGAAGTACGTATACTGGACACTATGAGCCTGTCGAAGAGATCTCCAATATCCTGGACGGTATACAGTCCGAAACCGGCATAGATGTCCCTATACATGTTGACGCCGCCAGCGGTGGGTTCGTCGCACCATTTACGGATGCAGGGGCTGGAGGACCAAAATGGTACGTATTATCTAGGACTGCAGCTTACTTGGTGGCTTTGTTCATCTAGTCATGCTAATTTGGCGTTTTAAGGAATTTTGAATTGCCCCGAGTCAAGTCAATAAATGCATCCGGGCATAAGTATGGTCTCGTGTATGCGGGATTGGGGTGGATTATCTGGAGAGACCGCTCCTATCTACCAAAGGAACTCATCTTCGAGCTTGACTATCTTGGGAGCAGAGAAGAGACTTACACGTTGAACTTCTCTAGACCAGGGGCACAAGTAATCGGTCAGTACTACAACTTCGTCCGCCTTGGGTTCAATGGGTATCGCGAGATCATGGAGAACTGTTTAGCCAATGCAAGGCTGCTGAGCAAAACTTTGGAGCGGACTGGATGGTTTATCTGTTTAAGCGACATCCACCGGAAGAAAGGGGAGTTTTACCACCAGCATCTGAACAAAATCACACCATATAATGAGGGTGAAACGTCCGCCGACTATAATGCCGGCCTGCCAGTGGTGACCTTCAGGTTCTCAGATGCCTTCAAGGAGAAGTATCCTCATGTCAAACAAGAGAGTATAAGCCTCCTGTTAAGGTCGAAGCAGTATATCATTCCCAGTAAGTTGTTCCAGTACCTCATTCATGGCCGTGGATTGGAACTGACGCTTAGGATTTACAGACTACCCACTTCCTCCCAAGGAGCAGGAGACATATATTCTGCGAGTCGTCGTCCGGGAGAGCATGGCCGCAGATCTCATCGACAAGCTTGTGGCAGATATTGTTGCCGTCACCGAGCGCCTGATGAAATCTGACCCAGTAGACCTGGCCGCACTGCAGACAGGCCCAACCAGCCTTGAACGCCGCCGAGCAAAAGGCAAAGAGCATCTTCATCATCATCACAAAGACTCAAAGCAACCAAGCGAGAAGAAAGAGAAGACCAATGACCACCCGATGAGAAGTGGAATCCACCGTTCCGTCTGCTAAGGCGTAACTATTCAGCGCGAATGTATGGTATCTCCGTATAATTAAGTGGGTATATTTAATGTGCCATGACAGACAGAGATTGATCCAGTGCTGGATTTTAATATTGTCATTCTCGGTAGTTGGTTATAACCGACTTCTCGCTTCTAATGTTTCCCTTTCTCCGACATTTGATATAGCCAGTTTGATAACAAGCAATATCAATCATCTAAGCCAATGATACTTTTATTAGCAAGAGTAAAACTAGGAATGGATAAGACGTGTTTCAGGGGCAACACTCACATTCAACACAGAAGATTCTTCGACGCCTACAAAAACCCATGAGCGGAGGCGATAAAGTGACCTTTGAACACATCACAAACTAGCCAGGCCAGGCATACTCTATATACCCCGTATACGGTGCCGAGTGAAAGAAAAGCGGCCGGAGATGCGAAGTGGTGGCTGTCTTCCCATGCAAGATCCCAGGCCATCAAAAGCTTCAACCTTCAGGAGCGTCAACGCCAGCCACTCACTGCGCGCACCAACATCAAACCTGAAACACCACGAGTCACTCCACACCACCAACCAACTAAATAACTCGTCAGTTAAGCATTTAACTAAGAAGTTGTTTCCCGGGGTAAAAGGGGAATAAACGAATAGAAGCATGATACATCATGTTTATTCTTCACTTTGACAAAGCGGCCGCTGGGTCTAAGATCCACGTTGCCACTCAGAGCCAGCCAGGATGCCAAATGAAGACAGCCACTGGCGGTCGGAGATTGGCCACTGTTATTCAGGGGCAACTCACTCGATACCCATAGAAATCTTTAGCTTGAAGTGAAGACAAGCTTTGCTGAAAGCTTAGCATTGAGTCCCTGCGGCTCAGGAGCAGTCTTGGAGGTCACTATCAGCCCATGGGAATGCCCCTCAAAGGCAAAGATGGGGCCCCTCGGTGCAGGAAACGCATCCTAGTGTGACAGTTGGGTCAATGGATATTCACAGGCGGAGAGAAACGCCGTCACAAGCGGCCAACTGGTGAAATAACTAGTCATCAGGGGCCACGTTCCGCAGGTATATATACCGGTCGATGTCTTCCAAGTTTAGAAATATATCTTACTCCTCCTCTTTCTCTCAACAGCCGCAGACACTGTCAGAGACACTTCGCTTTGCATACTTGCACAGAAACAAGGATAATCGGCATATAAAGCACCTTCAACATGCGTTTCATAACCACTACAATATTCCTTCTCGTTGCGTCTTGCGCCTCTGCCCAGCCGATTGAGTGCTCCAAAGATCCAGCTCCAAGCACTCAACCCGCACCCCCACCTCCGCCTCCACCACCACCACCTACTCCTAAGCCAGCCGCGGTATCTTGTCCATCATCGTCGTCGTCACCATCATCATCATCATCATCGGCCATTTCCAAAGACAACATGGTCAAAGTTCTAAAGGAAATTGCTCCCACCTCAGCTAAGGAACCCTGCGTCTCTGCTGAAAAGGCAGAAGGACAGTGCCGAAGCGCCTCTCAGGCTGCAGAGCCACTCATCAACTCCTTCGAGAAATACAAGATCACCTCTAAGCCTGAAATGGCTGCTATCCTGGGCCTTATCGCCTTTGAGACAGGAGAATTCAAATATCAGAAGAATGTGTTCCCCGGTAGACCGGGTCAAGGCAGTAAGTTGAATGCCGTATCCTCCCTACACATATCTAAGAACAACACATACCTGACCTGGTTGCCCTAGCTCGAAACATGCAAATGCCTAAATTCAACGCCCTTTATGCCCAGTCCATCCCTGAGGTAGCCGCGAAGCTTGGCCCTAAGATGAGCAACGTTGATGCAGTTTTGGATATGCTTCTCTCTAAAGATGATTATGACTTTGGGTCTGCAGCGTGGTTCTTGACTACCCAGTGTACTCCTCCTGTTAGGACTGCACTACAATCCGGTTCTGAGGAGGGATGGTCCAAGTACATGACTGAGTGTATTGGGACCACCGTCACTGATGAGCGGAAGAAATACTGGACCAAGGCTCAAGAGAGTGTCAAATCTTTGTAGGCACAGAGACCGTTACAGCTGGACGGAACTGCTAGGTTGATCCTATGTGTACTCCAGCTATGATTTATGACCTTATACCAAGAATTCAAAGCATGACTGCAAGAAAAAAATTAAACTGAGTAAATCCCATTTTATATCTGTCTCGACTATGTAAACTCCATGTCATGCCTCTAGCAGACGCTTTTTATCACTTCCAGAAAGGAACATGAGACATCATGGATTGGGAAGAAAGAAAAGGCATTAAACAAGAACTAAAGAGTAACAATACCATACTGAAAAAAAAGAAACCCATAGAAAGCCGAACGCATATAACTCCATAACTTCCCACCATGCATCCATCGTTGAGCGGCAACAACCAAATAGATATCAACTGAAAGTCGGGCGAAGAAAGAAAACGACACCGCATCAGGGGAAAACAAGGCGACGAATAGAAAAGTAGCAGATCAAAAGACTCTGTCCATAAGTAAATCAAACATGAAGTTCAAGATTTGCGTGTTTGAAAGAGAAACACGAGGAACAACTTCATCAACGGAGCAGCATTAGACATCATCAAGAGACCAGGTCGGCCTGGGCTCGTTCGTTTGATTTGCAAGGAATTCAGATGTTCTTCACTCTGGCAATGTTGCCAGCACTTCCGACTCTCCCACTTGACTTGCGGACTCCACGAGTGTCGGTTCGGTTGTCAGCTGTCCGTCTTGGGTTGGATCGCTGTTTGTTCACTCCTAGTACTCCACTTCCACTCTTCGCGTTGGATGGAGTCTTGGGTTTTGGTGAGCCTGAATCACCGACACGGTTCTCAACATCTTCATGGATGTCTATCTCTGGGGTGAGTGCTGCAGAATGGCTGAGAGATCGCTGGGTGTTGGAAACAGGGGTGCGCGGCGACGTAACACGGTTGACAAGAGCCTGGATTTCTTCATCGCTGTCTGCGCGGTTGTTCGAATGGGTCCTAGACACTCCCCGTCTTGGGGAGCTTGCGGCGCCTCCTAGACTAGCGGATGGTGTACGGGCATACGGATGATGTCTTGAGTCCTTACGATGTGACTTTCTTGGCTGCCCTGGAGTAGGAGCAGGAAGGTTTTCATCTGCATAGCCGTTGGCACTCTCATTAGTGTCAATTTCGCCAAGGGCAGCCCTCTTGGTCTGGTTTCCATGTGGTGGTGTTGCAGTTTGACTGCCGTTGAGTCGTTTAGAAGACACTCTCCCGGGAGTGGTAGGGGTAGGTAACGAGAGTTTCTCCTTAAGCTGGTCTTCTAACCACCACTCACGGAAACTTCCTTGGTTCAAATGGAGCCAGTGCTGTTGCGGTCCAACAACCATGCCTGGGCGCATAAAGCGCATAAACGCGATAATTTCATTCGCGGTAAATCCATACCGGTAGATGAGGTACGCCCCTATCAAACAGCCAGTTCGTCCTAAGCCAGCTTTACAGTGAATTGCAATCCCCTTCTCTTTGATTGTGATCATCTCGTGTGCCATCTTAATGAACCTCTTTACCAGTGGGAGCGGTGGGCAGGTTCCGTCTTCGAATATCATGTCAATATGATTGATACCGAGGGCAGTGAAGTACGATGGGCTATAGAGCTCAGAATTAAGGCGTACAACCAAGCCAACATTCCTGGACGAGAAATGGGTAAGGACGTTTTTAAAGGGAACTGGCAATTCACTGTCCTGGACCTGGTCGATGGTCGATGGTAAAGCAGCGAATTCAGGAGTGTTCTGAGGAACAACGGCAATAGGAGAATGTTGTGGCGACGCAAATGCAAGGAAGCTTGGGGTGATCCAGTTAAAATCGCCCATATCGACTCGTTCATACTTTTCATACCTACGTTCTGTTAGTCCTACTCCTCGCTGTTGGCCAGTCTAGATTAAGGCGAAAAAAATAACTTACTCTTCCAGGCTGAAATCCTTGAGCCCGCAGAGGCCTTCCTCCTTGGCTTTCCAGACGCCGTATACCACGTCCTGAATAGTAAGGACAAAGTCGGCCTGGCTGTAACCGGCATCTCTGAAGGGCATGTATGGTGGGTCAGCCTGCGCGATGGGGGCTAGGGCAAGATGCGGAGGCCAGGATTGAATCAACACCATGTAGCAAGCTACAACACACGCAACATTTGCCCTGCTTCGCGGGTCAGGCTTAGTCCACAGGACTACTGGGCGATCGGCGTTTTCCGGGTCTCCTAGGATTTCATGGAAATGCACCGCGAACCGGTAGAGATGTCCGATGTGGAAAGGACCAAAGTCCGCATGGAAAGAATTATAGAGGAGCAATCCATCAATATTGAAGTATACGGGGGCTTTCGCTTGGTGTTTCCTAGAGGGAGTATTTGCGGCGGCCCGCCTCTTGCTGGGCGACTTCGGTGGTGCCGCGAGAAACGGGAAAGGAGTGTTCTCGGAGGGAGGGCTATGGTAAGAAGCAAGATAAAGACGATCTGGAAGAGAGTGAGCTTATAGTCGCAACCAAGGGTTATGTTAGTTAGGGCCGGAACATATATACCTTGAATGTACTCAATCGGAGCACCGTACAACCCAGAGGACCCTGCTGGCGGCATGTTGAGATAGATCAAGCTGTCCTGTATTCAATTGAGATCGAGTCTTGTAAATGGAACGAACAGCAGAGGTAATGATAGTCTCTCCCTCTGGTAACAGCGACGACAGCAAAGGGTTGGGTCCGCGAGATCGTGATACACTGAAGAGAGGTAGGCTGTCGCGAGATCAAAGCTGCATTATCGAGGTTATAGATGAAGAGTAAAGATGTTGACGGAAGGATAACCTGGCGATACTGTCGAGAGAAAGGAGAGTGAGGATAGGAGAGAGTGAATGAAGAGGATAATAAATCTGCGACGAGGCAAGGTTGTTGTTTATGTTGTTATGGACTTATTATTATTTATTATGATGTTGATGTTGTTTAGTGTTGTTGTTTTTTTTTTTTATTTTTCTTCATTTTTCCTTTTTTTCCCAAACGGGACAGAGAAGACGCATGGACCACCGCTGCTTGTTATGTTGTCACGTGTCCTATTAAGGTTAGACTCGTCGGTTGACCCGGTAACCGCGTGAATATAGGAGCTCTTATTGGCCAAATGGCTAAGGGTGGATCTGGCTACTGTTTCAGGCTAGCGCGCGGCGGGCGCTAAGACCAAAACAAACAAGGAAGCGCCAGGGCAACAAGTTCTTCCATGGCGACGGCGAGACGACGGCGAGCTAAGCGTACAGAGACGAGACAGCGGACGAGACGAGGACGAGACGAGGATAAGATGGGGACGGGACGTGGACAAGACGCTGTGTGTCTGGTTCGTGCCACCAGGGAGAAGAGGGGGCCGTTGGACACGCGGGGATACAGGCACCGGCCTCGTGCTTATCCTTGCCGTTTGCTCGCTTTCAAACCACAGCATCCTCGCCCTTCCGCAGCTGTGAAGATACTGAGATGAACTACAGACGAACTCCGTACTCGACGTGATTGGAATGCAAGGTTACTAGCGAACACAGAAGAATATACGGAGTACTTATTGGCGGAGAAATATTTGTGTAATCTGTTGCGGCATCCTTGAAACTTTCTCCACAAAGCAAGCCTCAGTGGCGAAAGACACATCTGGATGCAAGGTGAATCAAGGACCCGACATTTTGCAGCGATAGCACCAAACTGCCGCTTTTCTCCACGGAATAGGAAATAAACAGCAGCAGATGTATACTGTCTGCGGGCAAACCTAACTATTGACACTGGCATCGAACCAACCATTGCGCAAAAGATACCAAATCTACCCCGCCATATCACACATTATCAAGCCAGCTTCAATAATCCACCTTTCAAACCGATAACGACATACTTTTGACACACCAGTACTCCATACGATAGTTATGGTAGATATGGCAAAACCAGCGCAATCGGCTGACCAGGATTTTCCTTACTCTTTGTATGCTGCGCGATAAGTCGAGACTCTAGTGCTCCTTGCGTGGCCTCGTTACTTGTCGCTTACGAGATGCTAACCGCAACGAAAATGCAGAACTATCTCCGTACCGCTTCCTTCATACCGTCTGGCCTCCTCTGCCATGCGCGCGCTGCAGGTAGACCTTGAGCTATCGCCGCTGGTCAAGCGCACATTCCGCCTCACAAATCCTGAGTCATCGAGCTCAGGCATAGCGCAAAATGAACCACAAGTAAACCGGACACTAGAGGAGGGCAGGATAGAGCACGCAGCAATTAATAACACTACAGGTGCTGGTGATGAGAGTTTAACAGTCTTGGAGACAGAATACAGAGCCGCTACCAACAGAATGTTACGGGTGGCAGTGAATGCCTTCATGGACTCGCTAGGAGTTGTCGTTGGAGTGATGGAGGAGTTGGACACTGATGTATTAGGCCAAGAACTGGGGAAGCCGTAAAATATACCGCCGCAAGAAGAGGTTCCCTACTTTTTATTATTTTGATAGACGCCCACCAATTTACCCAGACAGGCACCAGGCCATGTTCAGCGAGCATATTCCAGTACTACAGCGTAATTGATACCTGCATGGTGTAATAAAGTAGCACTTCTGAGTAACTAGCCCTGCTGAATGGGCAGCTCACCAACTCGTTCCACTGTTTGTTCACTACTGCTCTCTGCTTTCTCCTGGGGCTGGTCCTGATCAAGGCTTCCCAAAGCAGAACGGGCGACGGCATACGGAGTAATGTATGTCCGATTGAGGTTAATTACATAATCTTGTCACTTCGCTGTCAGCCAATGAGAGGCCCTCAAAGAAACCTCGCTTAGCACGGGCCCCACCCGCCCAGGTATAAATATCTCTGGCCGCCCACCTTCTTTTAAAAATTTTCTCTTTTCTTCTCCAGCTCTCTTTGCCATTATGGCTTAGATCAAGTGTAGTATCTGTTCTTTTCAGTTTAATCTCTGAAAGTATTCTAAGGAATACGAAAGTGATTATTCTTATTTTTGTACCACGCGATAAGACCTCTGTGCTTGCGCATGTCTTTTCGCACCGTGTCATCGGTCTTACACTACTACCGATCGACGCGAACTCATCTTTTTTCATTGATATCTTCGGCTTGCTGAAGTATTAAAGAAGAGAGAGTCTGATATGTAGCTACTAGTTATTAGATTGTAGTCATTGTTTCTTCATTTTGAAGCTTGCTTATTATGTACTTGTGGTAAAACTGTTATCGAAGGTTCTGCTGCTGTATGAATTAGGTACTCTGCATTTAGAGCTGCTTTCAACTACATATCTACAGTAATTAGGTAGTAACATCTCAAGCACAACAACCCCAACCAACTTCCACCCAGCAACACAAACAACTCAAGATGATTGACTCGGCTATCTTCGAGAGCTTACAGGTGAAAATCGATGAAGAATCTAAGATCCGTGATGTATGCTCTTTGGGTACCCCGATTCCCAGCCTGAACTAACCTGGCGGCCAGGAAATCCAAGATATCGTCCAGGAGCTCTCTAAGCGAGGTGCGCTCGTCGAAACATCTTGTGCCTACGTTCCTAAGGCTAATAGGATATCACTTGAACAGGCAGAGCTGTCCAGGCACTTCTCTCACGAGCTCACTCTACGCCTCCCTCTCAAAGTACGCTCACTTCATTATCATATCTATAGACGCGTCTGCACATGCTGATATCACCTAAAGTAAACCCCATCCTTGACGATGCCACAAGAGAGATCTCAGCGCAGCGAGAGGACATCGCCAAGCTGGTTACTGTTGCCTCAAAGCACCCTTTCTACAAATATAACTACCTCTGGACTAAAGAGTTGCAGAACTTGGTACTGTCGCCTGTTTCGTTTATGGTATATTATATCCTACTGACACAAGAGCAGGTCTTCTCGATCGAATTCTGCAGCTGGCTTGGTGGTATGAAGGGAGCTGTTGACGAAAACACGACCTTCATGACCATTGAAGATGTGGGGAAGTTCCTTGCCGGTTTGTAGCTGTGTTCTTCCATGCTCTGAATCAGCACCTAACTCCAGTCAATACATAGTTCCGGTCAATCTGAAGGACCAGGATGCCTTCCACCTTACCATTGAAGAGTATTTGCATGCTCTTATCTCTCTCGTCGAGGAACTGGTAGGGTTCATTTATCCCATCACTTTTATTTGGTCGTCGTTACTGACTGAAGTATAGTCTCGTCTTGCCGTCAACTCGGTTACCCTTGGGGATTACACCAGGCCTCTACAGATCCATACCTTCATCTCTGACCTTCACGCAGGCTTCCAGCTCCTGAACCTCAAGAATGATTCCCTGAGGAAACGGGGTGACGGAATCAAGTATAACGTGGGTATACCCATGCCAAACCCTCAAAATTATTGATTTCATACTTACTGATGGCTATATGGTTATAGGTCAAAAAGGTTGAGGACGTAGTGTATGACCTATCCCTCAGAAACTTAATCCCTAAGAAGGGAGCCAGCGACGAATAAGCGTGATACTCAGCCTTCTTGCTGTGGTTTCAATTCGTTGAAATTATAACTTTACGCCCATAGCGTTCATACTTACGTTGCTAAAGCAATGAAGCCCTTCAAATAGCCGAAAAGTCTCTCCAAAGCCCCGAAATCATTCCATCTCCTCCTGTCTATCTTCTGTTCCTAGCAAAAATATACTTTTATACAAGCACGTGATTTTAATAGCCCTAACCCTTTTTTTACCCACGCCAAGAGTTCGTCCTCAATTATCAATTCTATGAAAAATCAACGAACGAAACGAAGATCTTTAAAAACCACCACGTCAACGCAACGATTCCGCAGGATATTTACCTCTTTGCGGTCTTTCCAAGTCACATACATCCTCCGTCGTCACAATGGCTCCCACAACTGTACGTCTATTTATTGAGAATCGCTTTGCTGTTCCCCCTTGAAAGCGATCCTGGAATTCGCCCGCTCCCCCTAAGCAGCCGGAGAAGGGCGAACGAAAGGATCTTCAAGAAAGCGACAATATGCCACAATGGGAGCAGTAGGCTAACTCATTCTCACCCGCCTTGGGTGGTTTATTGTAATTAATAGGCCCGTTCTGCCAAAGGCAAGCAGCAAAAGACTTCCAAGAAGGTACGTTGTTTGCGCATTTCTCATATTATGGTTTTCTTGCGCAAAGCCGAGTCGATTGAGAGTCGCATTCTAACGGCAATCGATATAGTTCATCATCAATGCTTCTCAGCCTGCCAACGACAAGATCTTCGATGTCTCCGCCTTCGAGAAGTTCCTGCACGACAAGATCAAGGTTGAGGGCCGTGTAGGCAACCTTGGTGAGGCCGTTCAGATCTCCCAGGTCGGTGACGGCAAGATCGAGGTTATTACTCACATTCCTTTCTCCGGCCGATACCTCAAGTACTTGTACGTTCTCTCCCGAAAGAATCCTATTTAACCTTTTTCTTTATGTGAATACTGACCGAGTTTTTACTCAATTTAGGACGAAGAAGTTCCTTAAGAAGCAGCAGCTCCGTGACTGGCTTCGTGTTGTCTCTGCTTCCAAGGGTGTCTACGAGCTCCGATTCTACAACATCGTCCAAGACGAGGCTGAGGAGGATGACGAGTAAATGGAACGACGAAATGACCCGATTTTATCCCCATCAAAAGTTTAGGCCCAGGCATTCTAGAGGTTGACAAGGCATTAAAGCTTTGATGAAAGACTTTAGAAGAGTGGGAGGATGTTATATGTGGCTGGTTGGGGATATATGACCTGATCCAATCTATGATGTCTAGTGCCATGCTTACGAGCTTTATGGCTGACGATTTAGCTTGTGCGTGTCGCGCATCTCTTCTCTATAATTCAAGATAATCGGCTTTTTGCCCTTGACCCTCATCTTTTTTCGTACATTATCCACTTTCCCGTAACAGCCTACTGGGTGTAAAGATAGAATTTTGCAGGATAAGATATTATGTTTCAACGGTCTACATAAGTTAGACCTGGAGAATAATTTAGGATGCGATGTGCAATAGGACGTGGTCTACACCCGATAAGAAAAAGGGCTCATACACCACTAGGTGCTATCCATGGTCTTTCTCTTCAGGCCGAGGCTAGTGTCTGGAGTCTTAGGCCTTTCGGTCGCCTCGTTACCCGCCGGGTTCACTAATTTACCATCTCGAATAGCCCAACCTGACCGTTTCATAACTTTCCACTTCTCACCTACTTTGTGCCTTACTAGGTCTCCAGTAGCTTTTGTGTCTTCTATAGAGTCATGCCCCTCAGTACCCCCGCCAGTTTGTATATCTCGTCCAAGATACTTCTTTGTAAGAGCACGAAGACCGTTCCGCATTGGCAGACCTGCTGGGTGTGGATATAACAACACGGTATCAACTATAGTAGGGTGGACGATACGACAGACATTAAGATCATTGTCCAACGCATGGCCAAGGAGAGGTGTCTCTGGTTGGAGATGCTGGAAAAGCAACTCCCTTGCGGCTGCAGGAGAGTCAACCATTTCGAGGTTCAGAGTCGGTTCTGAATCATGCGTATTCCCTGTAGTAGTGGGTTTTTGCTTTGCCTTATAAGGTGTAGCTTTGGCAAACTGTTCTGGTCGAATACCAGAATACCGAGTATTAAGGTCCAATATCTCTCCTATCGGTCTCACCAGAACATCAACGAGCACTTTACCCTCTGGCCAGGTTATTGCTGTTAGGCGAATCATTTCAAGTCCTAGTGTGGTATACCCCATTTCGCAGTCAACACAGACTGGTGGCAAAGCTTGTTGTTCTGGTTGCCGCGGTGTTTGCTCAAATTGCATCGTGGCCGCCAATCGCTTCATATCGGTGACTTTGAAAACGTGGGAATCCACCCTAGTGCATCCCGTAGATGTGCCAACAGCTTCTTTACAGCAAGGGTAGAAAAACTCCTTCTGCCCCACTATATGTTCTGTTTTCTGCTTAGGTGGTCGAATCGGCCTTGCATAGTGATAGACACAAGGGCCCGAGGATGTTAAGGCACCGTCAGACCTCCTGCCGGGGAAGACTTGAAACCTTCCGTTACAACGATCACATTTCTCCCACCCCTGTGAAGCCTCGATTCCACGCTTTGCACTAGCCACTTCGTCCATTGATGGAGGAGTCATGACGTATTCAAGTTCTTTCAAATCGCTAGTAGAAGCATAAAGTGTTGATAAGACTAGTTTCTCCTCTTCGGCCGTTAGCCCTGTTGATAAGGGTTTTTGTGGCGAGGCCTCCCGCTTTATAATTTTTGATGGATCTTCTGGTCGAAGGAAAAGCCGTGACAGTCTCTTGCCATTCCTGCTGCTTCATCTTGGTCAGTTTTACTATACGTAGTTTAACGACGTTTGAATAAACAGCAGGTGACTCTTTCGCAATTTTTTCCTCTTCGTCCAAGGCCATCGTAACCAATTCATCAGCAGAGAGAATCATGCCTTTTTTCGATGTGTCAACGGATTTCTTCATATCTTCGTTGAGGCGGACCATTGCGCTATGCAGTTTGACCAGGATTGACATGCGAATTACATGCGTTGCCGGAGGTTTAGACAAGTGTCTTGGATTGAGAGACTCTTTCTTTATTTGTCTCTTTTGCAAGGCGGCTGAGGTCTCCAAGGTCCCTTTAACATGGCCCTCTTCCACAGGTCCTACAGCTTTTGCACGGGTAGTAATACGGCTGATTGGAGGAGGGGATACTCGTCTTCCTAATGAGTCAAGGCTACCCTTAGTCCGAGAAGGCGAGGACTTTGACCATTCCGCGACTGGGGTAGAGTTACGAGCGGCCACAATATTGTCAACTTCGTGGATAGAAGGCCCACCCAGGGGCTGTCCATCATCATATAAACGCTGCCTCTTCCTAATAGGTTCGTCTGTATTTCCAGGCTGTGCATTTGCAGTCTCTTTGGAATCGGCGACTGAATAGGAATTAGCCGTACCCTTCACCCCATGATGAGAGAATATACAATTCGAAACGGTGCATTGGCCATTATGGGGACAAGAAACTCCGCTAAACAACCCGAGCGAGCTAAACATCGTATCTTCTCCTCAATGCTTGAGAAAACAGAAACGTGGCCTTAGACTCAAGTCTTAGAGGGCGCTGATACGTAGGAGTATGGGTATCAATGCCAGGCGAGGCTGCATGAAGTTCAACTAAGTGAGGACTGCCACCCTTTCGCAAAGTAACTTTACATGATAAGGGTAGGTAAAGGGCATCAAGGTATCAATGACCGACCCCGTGTCCCATCTTCCTAGCTGCGGTGAGAGAACTATATATTAAGCTCAAGGCGAACAGACCGATGGGGCAAATATCCAGTACTTTCTTTGCGGTGGAGCTACTCGATCACAATAAACGCATACAACGAGGCCAGTTGAGGCTAAATAAGGGAAAATAACATGTGGTACGAAAGTTATCAAAGGCGGACAGTAGTGAAATAGTCGTTAAGAATATGGTGATGAACAAAGTTGACGTCGTAAAAATTGGTTTGGCGTCTTTGTCATGTTAGATGCAAACAGTGCAAACTCCATCCATTTAACTAACAGGTAACTAGTTAGCTAAGTCCTTCCTTATCTCCGTAGGCTCCAGCGATTCCGACAAACACCGGATATATAAAGGAATAAAAACTGGATGTTACAGTCCATCATTCCCATTTAATTTTACGGGACAACTATTGTCATTCTAGTTATGGAAGACAGCGATCGGCCGTCAAGTGATGCGAAAGCTGATCACCTTTGCGTCCTAATTCATGGGTGAGTGATATAATAAATATCAAGGACGAGGGCTAACTTCAAATAACAGGCTATGGGGTAATCCATCACACCTTAATTATATCGTATCCGCTTTGCGAGAAAAGTACGGCGAATCGACGTTGCAGATACTGTGCCCGAAAAGCAATGCAGGAACTCTTACATATGATGGTATCGAGCTTGGTGGAGAGCGGGTAGCCCATGAAGTGGAGGAAACGATCAGGACCTCCGCTGAGCAGGGGTGCAAGATTCGCAAACTGAGTGTGGTAGGATACTCATTGGGCGGTTTGATTGCTCGATATGCTATCGGTTTGCTCTATGCGAAAGGATACTTCGACGACATTGAACCTGTCAACTTTACTACTTTTGCCTCACCACATGTCGGTGTGAGAAGCCCTGCGAGAACAAGCCATTTCTGGAATGTGCTGGGTGCCAGATGTGTATCGACATCAGGACGACAGCTTTTTATGATTGATTCGTTCCATGACACTGGAAAACCGCTTCTCAGTATCCTTGCTACCCCGGGAAGCATATTTATGCTTGCGCTTGCGAAATTTAGATACCGAACCCTATATGCGAACGCCATCAATGATTTAAGTGCCGTTTATTACACGACCGCAATATCAAGGATAGATCCCTTCACACAAGTGGATGATCTCTCAATAAGTTATGTTGATGGTTACGCGCCGGTAGTCATTGATCCCGATCGACCAGTACGCCTCAAGCCAAAATCTCAGTCATTATTTGACCGATTAACTTCATCCGCCTACTCGATGATATCAACATTCTCATTCCGACTTATTATTGTCACCATCGTCGGGTTTGCTTCAGTGTTATTCCTAACAAATGCAGTCTACCAGACAATTCTGAGCGAGAAACGCATCCGCCTGCACAAACAAGGTAAATCTGGGGTAATGTACAATACCTATAGAGTTCCACTGATTATGAAGGGGTTCCGGAACGCCGTTGAGGATATGTACGAAACCGCAAATGCAGCACAGAAACCAGAGTATATATCAGGGTCAACCCCGGCCAGCGAGGAGAGGCTTCATGATATGAATGGTGAAACCTCAAAGCCTGCACAGCCTCTGCCTGCCGTAACAACAGCATACACCGAGACTGAACCACTTCAAAACACGGATAATATCGCTGCTCGCCAGCCCAGCAAGCCTACATTTCCTACTCTTGCCCTAACAGCTGCTCAATTCCAAATTATCGATAATCTTGACACTGTTGGATTCCGCAAGTACCCAGTACACATCCATCAGGCTCGGCACAGCCATGCAGCTATCATTGTCAGGTCACCTAGAGAATCATTTAAGGAAGGGAAGATCGTTGTAAGGCACTGGTTGGAAGAAGAATTCCGCATCTAATGCATGTATGGATAATGGCTTCTCTTTGCTCCGTGTCAGTGATAACCCATGTACGACCGACTCCACTCTGAACGGCAAAGCCACTGCTACTCTACCTTTACCCTCATTATTTCAGGTATCTCACCGAGTGCGGTAACTCCCGTGGAGTAGCATACCGGATAAAACGAGCGAAAAAAAAAATGGAGACTCAGGTCCTGTACAAGGATGCGCTCCAAAATTCTCAATCACTATCACCAGCCACCGTACTTACCATATAACACGGAGAAATCGGTACACCATCCACCATACCCCTGTAACTGCGCACGGATTTCCAGCACGATTAGGAAAGCGGCCTGATTTATCATGATGGCCGTGCAAGACCCCGACACTTGCAGGTGAGAAGTTTCCCGTGCTACTTTCCCCGTATATGCAATACATAGACCAGTCGGGAACATTATATAAGTGACGGCCAACAAACATTGTGATGGGCCCACTCCACATCCTTTAACCTCACTACGAAGTGTCTGTATGTCAATGATCTTAGTATTTGTTGTTACAATTGTTACGGTGGTACGGAGTACAGAGTACAGTGTTATATTTTGTTCTGATAAACATGGAGAGGTATATGCATAGAGTGTAAGCACTTCGTAAATTCAGTTAACATATACTCCGTCCTCGGTAGAATGCACCGCTATGTTCATGAGAGACACCAACTCCATCTGCCCAGAGTACTCTGCACGGTGGCTGGGCTACCCCTGGCCACCAAGCCCGCAAACGTCTCCGAGGAAGCGGCGTCGTGGGAAACTATGATGCCAAGCCCGCCTTAGTCATGCATCCCTGGGCGTCGGGTCCACTTAAGCTCGTGGTCTGACCACTCAGGCCTTGCATTTGCCGTCCTTAGCGAGTCTTAGGTTTATTGACGTCATAGAGGAGCCGCATGTTCAAAACGCACCCATCACTGCGTAACATCCAAGTCGATTACTTTTTCGCGCTCGGGTTGGTTGCGAAGACAAGATTCGGGTATACCTACTCAGCAGAGCGGCAGGCGAGGATGGCAATTAATTTAAGAATACGGAGTGCAGGGAAAACAGGCGTTTTTGCGATACAGGGGCGTGTCCAATCGGTATGTTTTTATCTCGAGGTTGTCAAAGAGCAACAATAACTATAGCCCGCAGAGCGGCTAATATCTTTGCTCAGGGTGAAGTCCTAGCTCTTATCTACTCGCTTGGTGGCTGCTACGCGGCCATAACCCCTATATATTATCCTAAAACTCCCCAAATGAAATCCCACTATTATGGGGTTATGACTAACACCATACTGTATGGTTAACGGACCTTGTCTCGTTTTCACTGTTTGACGATCCCTGAGGGCAGAGCGACTTCGTGCATAAAATGTCCAACTGCATATCAACATCTCCACTATGTTGTGGATCATGGCCCATCAAAATTACTTCTACTCATGCGACGATGAGACAATACATTGACAAGTACTACCAGGCGGTGAATATGTACCAGAAGATGAGCGGAAGAACGGAGTGGTTTTCCTGAGACAAGTTGCCTTCGATTGACATTGGGTATATCAATATAGCACATACTACTGTCCCTGGAGTACTTTCTTACCCCTTGGTGTGACAACGGTACAGAAGATAACATGTGAACAGACATCATTAGGAATGTGGGTTCACATGCACATATACTGCGGTAACTCGTAGAGGTAGAAGCCCGGATATCTTGAGATTTTGGACAGCATCGCGTTGTTTGCGGTCTGCTCTTTGATAATACGTATTGTAGTATTTTTTGATGTAGAGAGATTCCACGAGGCTTAGCAGCTGGGCACTTTGCGGCAATATAGGTTTCAATTTTATGACGGACTAGCTGCCTTCCATGTTTGTCCAGTAGCAGTCTCATCATTGCAGATTACTGTGATAGCCAAAAAAATAATAAAAAACCCTAAAGTCGAAACATACCTATCTCGGTCTACTCCCGTCACTCCCCTGACCTCCAGAGCAAAAACGATATTCCTGGTGGAGATTGGCCCAGGAACCCCTTTATTCATTGGCCAGTCGGCGGGAGGGATGCCTTGCGAAGACGCTATCACATCGTCCAACATGCCCCAAACGCCAGGTGGATCCTCGACTTTGCCGTTGCTCTGTGTTTCCTCACTTCCCTGGCGGATATAAAAACGAGATAAAAACCTACATATGTTTAAGGTTGCCAGTGTGTAACCCCGGTGTGGGCCGAGAGAAGGATCGGGGAGATCGGAGGCGGGTTTGCCCATCTCAACAACCCGATGCACGATGATATCAATTTCCTGCGGCAGCTGGAAAAGAAAAGATAGAGTCGCCGAAGCGAAAAGACAGGAATGGAAAACTAAGCAACAAAATTGTTAGTAAGAGTTCCACGGTTCATATCTCTGGTCAATAATGGCAAGGGATGGAAGTTTGGTAACTTTTAGAACTTCTTGTCCGCCATTTGTTCAGTGTCTGAGCTGGGTGGGCCCGTGGCTGTCTAAGGTTCTTAGTCAAGGGGCCGGGTTGACGGGTTGCATCATCTGTTTGCCGTTTTCTGGGTAGAACATCCCTATTATTGTTACTATTAGCACGCCTGGAGTGCGAAGAATAAGGATATATAATTAGCTCGTCCGCTCTTTCCACTATGGCCCTTCTTTCATTCTTGCCTCCCATCACTCCTTTCTTTTACGGTCAAGACAGTTCTTGAGGCGGGATAAGGAACTCAGTCGAATTCCTTCGAGAAAGAAACAATCAGCCACCGTCACCATCCCACAGACATCTAAAAGTCGTTTGCCGCAATTTTTTTTTTCTCTTGATATTAGACCACCATTATTCTCATCCCCGTTATCTTTATCTATTCTGCAGAGAACGAGAAAAGAAGGGCTATTATTTACTTACTGTCGACTCTCAACAAACCGCAACTATGGCAACTACAGAATCATATCATCCTGGGACACCCAGAGTCCGCCGTCTATCCAATGTGACCTCAACTAGGGAGGACTTGGTCAATGGACCGAACGTAGTCGTGCCACCGAAACACTTGATGGCGAGCACGGCTGCCTATGAAACCGCAAAGTCCATCGGGGTTGCCAAATACCATCTAGAAGAAGAAAACTCATCAGCCGAAGCCACTCCCAGAGCTGTATCCCCAGTCACAGGAGTTCCTGTCACAGCAACCGATAGGTATGCCTTCGCCTTCGATATTGATGGTGTCCTTATCCGCGGTGGAAAGCCAATTCCTGCGGCCGTGGAAGCCTTGAAAGTGTTAAACGGAGAAAACCAGTATGGAGTCAAGGTGTATGTACTCTTCCCCTGATACAGAATACTCTTCTTTTGCTGACGATTCATCGAATTTAGGCCATATATCTTTGTCACAAATGGTGGAGGCAAGACTGAGGAAGAGCGATGCCTCGATCTTAGCAGGCAGCTGGAATATGACGTTTCACCAGGCCAGTTCATCTGCGGTCACACTCCCATGAGGGAGATGGCAGAGAAGTATAAAACTGTTCTTGTTGTTGGCGGTGAAGGCGAGAAGTGCCGTATCGTGGCCGAGGGCTACGGTTTCCGTGACGTCGTGACACCTGGGGATATCATCAAGACAAACCAGGATACGACACCATTCCGAAAATTGACTGAGGAGGAGTACAAGAACTCTCGTGTGCGCGACTTTGACAATCTGGTCATCGAAGCAATTTTTGTGTTCGCAGACAGCAGGGATTGGGCCGGTGATCAACAGATCATCCTTGACCTTTGCATGTCGAAGGGTGGCAGAATTGGCACACGCTCAGCGACCTTCGATGAGGGCCCACCAGTATATTTCTCTCACAATGACATTGTGTGGTCAACATCTCACGAGCATACTCGTATTGGTATGGGAGCCCTCCGAGCGTCTGTCGAAGCGCTCTTCAAGGCCGTCACCAGAAAGGAGCTGAAGACCATTGCATTTGGCAAACCTCAGCTTGGCACATTCCAGTTCGCCACAAGACTCCTGCAGCAATGGCGAAAGGAGACCCATGGCATCAACTCCCCACCACAAACAGTGTATTTCGTTGGGGACACCCCTGAATCGGATATTCGTGGTACAAACGAGTACAACGAGTCCGACGTGAGTGAGACTCTCTGGTACTCGATTTTGGTTGAAACAGGAGTCTTCGAAAAGGGAACCACCCCAAGATATGCACCAAAGAAAATTGTTACCAACGTTCTTGACGCCGTTAACTTTGGTATGAAGAGGGAGTTCGAAAAAGCACTCGAGGAAACCGAACCCAAAAAGCCAGAGGCTGAGTAAAGGACGATCAAGAAATCTAGCTCCTAACGATCGAACAAACGGAGCTCGAGGACCTTGAATTGGCCTCCTGTGATACTAGCCTCTTTCATTCTTTTCTTTCCCCCTATCCCCTACCCATTTTCATTTCTGAGACGATATTGATGACCCCCTTTTTCTTCGATTCACCACTTTTTTGCTGATTATGCTGGGGGCGTTGGACGTCTTCCATCTGCATTTTCATGCATTGCATTATTCCATACATTCCATGTCATGTTAAGGAGTTCGGTTGCCGATGTCATGTTTTAAGAATCCACTGCTATTGCCCCTGGTTCGGGCTACGAAAATCAGGTTCATATCATTCATCCCCGTGAGAATTATAGATGTTCTGTGAACAAAATAAGAAAGGATTAAATTTGAAGGTACTGGTGTACGTTTCTCTGATTTATTTGGAGCGAAATCTCGAGAAATCCCATTGCTGATAGTCTATATGTGCATATCTTTCACCTAAAACCTGAAGCTGACGTTGGAGGAGTTTTGCGGGGGCCAAGGAAAAGCCTTGGAAAAACATTCATCACGTGATTCACATTTTGAGGGTCTGGTCTAACGTCGAGAGAAAGCTGTAACATTATAGTAGGAACTCATTAACAGCATACAGAGTATCTAGCGATTTACCTACAGTTAAAAGGGAACCCACACGGCTTTCCGAGTGACATAAGGCTGCTCCCATGTTCCCACCACTAGCTGGGGAGCTTTGTTATGTTATGAGTATCAAAAAGCCCTGGGGGCTGACGGCTGCTTCTAGTTTCTATCCTAGCGAGAGGCCTTTGCCTTCAATATGCGTCTGTTAAGAGCTGGAAGGATTTGTATAAGAACTGTATGTGTTGTTTATCCTAGCTATAATCCATTAGAATGCACTAACATGTTGGTATTTCAGTAGAAATGGACTCATGGCCACTATATTCTATAGGCTTGCATATCCCTTACACGTTCCTCGGCTGACGGCTGACGACTGGGCTATACCTCATCTCTCTGAGATATTGAGAAATCGATGCTCTTTAGTCATGTCTTCCAGGAAAGCCTCATATGCCTTGAATTGAAAGCTGTCAGAGATGGGTAAAAGTATTAGCTATCCTTAGCTAATATTCATTACTCCTGGGAATAGAATAAGCCCTGCAGCTATTGCTGTTGCATGGATATATTCAACTGAAAGAAATCAATCTTCCTATACGATGTGGTAGGGGAGGAGGGGATGATTTGACTCTGGCCTATATCAATAGGAAGTTAAGGCTGGGCCTAGGGACCGAGATGCCCCTTGATCTAAAGGGGAATCTATAATCAGAGATTCCTCTGGAAGGGTGTCCTTACCCTGATGATTTAATCTGAAATAAACCTATCTGGCTAAGAGATATTTTCACCATCAGAGAATGGACTGTGATGTGGATCACTATGACTATCAAACTGAATACTTTAACTCCTTGTTGCTATGCTCCTATTTCGTTCACACCCCAATGCCTGGTATACCCTTATAGCCATGCGTCGACGTCCTGCGTAGCACGATGCGATAATTTACTAGCAGCTTTGTTTGTTTATTTATGTGTTTCTCTTTTTCTCTTCTTCTTCCCTCTCTTTCTTCCCCTTTTGCAACCATCGAACTTTTGACTCGATATCCATTCGCCCTGCCACTACATCAAATAACTTACTCGTTTCTATCCGTCAATACGTGCAAAGGCCTTACAAAATGCCAGTGGTGTGGAATGATGCCGCGAGAGCCAAGGTATGGCTTTTCTCAAGGTAAAAAAAGACATTATCTATAAGCTTTTGTTAACGGTGAACTCGCAGCTCTTGATGGCTATCTTGAAGACAAGCGCGGGAAAAATTGATTACAAGGCTATTGTAGAGTTCATGGGGCCTGGTAAGTTGCACTCTCGTTCTTGCTACTCGACCGAGAGGGTGACTAAAGCGAAGTGCCAGAATACAATGCCAAAAGCATCCAGAACCAAATCCAGTCGATCAAGAGCAAGGCGTTTGGAGACAAGCCACCTGGCTCTAACCCCTCCACACCATCTAAGGGAAGGAAGAATGATACTTCCACCGCTGGCAAAACTCCAACGAAGTCTCCAGCGTCTGCCAAGCGTGGACGCGACCAAACCGACGACGGGACAGAGTCAGCCTCCGAGTGTGCGACGCCAACCAACAGCCGTCGATCTAAGAAAGTGAAAGCTGAAGTCAAGGAGGAGATTAAGTCTGAAGACCTCACTGCTCTGTGAATGACCAAACTCTAAGCTACCCTTTTTGCGCCTCCTGGCTGGGTATTAACCCAAAATTAGGCGTTGCATGTTTTCAAGCTAGTTAGCTAGGTAGCTGCGTGACGAGTGATGGATCTTGTACTTCGTATGTATTTTTTGATCAGCTAACGGCCACCGTGCTCAAGTCAGAATCCAATACAAATCTTCACCAATACTCCCATAGGTACCATCGCTGCTCCCTACCTGTAAAACTGTCAAGCCGCGTCCATGTCTGGTTGGTTCGAGAAAGGCCTGGCCGTCCTGGGGCTGTACAAATTCACGCTAAAAGCGGCGCCAGCACCATCCGCATCAGGCAATTCCTCGGTAGTTTTTCGACCCTTCAAGGCGCAAAAAAGGCCAAGCAAGCGAAAAAGGCCGAGGGGGAAGGAAAAAGCTGGCCATAGGTAGGAAAAGATCGCGATGACGATGACGATGACGGTACGTTAGTTAGTTACCCAGAGCTTTTGACCTCGCTCTTCCTCCGTCTTCGTCCGTCTGGTGCACAAAAGCTATATAAAGCCAGCGCTTCTTCGATCGGTAGCGATTTAACTTAACTAGTTATCTGATAACCATACCCTCTGAACCAGTTCCATCTGCGAAGAGCTACAGCTAGAACGCTTGTCTCCCCGCTGCCTACACTCGTCTTATCCGCAAAGATGTCGTCAGCAACGTCCTTTTACAACTTCGAGCCGGTCGACAGTAAGCATCAACACCAACTCCCACCTCCAACAGCACTCTCTACTGCTTTTTCGTTTTTTCTCTTTATGCGCCATTTAGTTGGGTAGCTACTGGTTTACTGACCATGCGTGACTTATCTAGAGAAGGGAGAGCCGTATCCCCTCGCCCCGCTGAAGGGCAAAGTAGTCCTTGTCGTCAACACCGCGTCGAAATGCGGCTTCACCCCGCAATTCGCTGGCCTTGAAGAGCTCTACAAGTCAATCACAGCCTCCCACCCAGATAAATTCACCATCCTTGGCTTCCCTTGCAACCAGTTCGGCTCCCAGGATCCCGGAAGCAACGATGAGATCCAGTCCTTCTGCCAGGTCAACTACGGCGTCACGTTCCCTGTCCTGGGCAAGATAGATGTCAACGGCGATAACACTGCGCCCGTGTTTAACTGGCTGAAGAAGGAGATGCCTGGCCTCATGGGCCTGAAGAGAGTCAAGTGGAACTTTGAGAAGTTCCTGATTGATGCGGACGGGCAGGTCGTCGGGCGATGGGCGAGCACCACGAAGCCAGAGTCGCTTAAGAGTACCATCCTGGCGGAGATCGAGAAGGCTGGAAAGAAGTCTCAGCTGTAGTTGACGCGTTCGCTACTTCGTTCAGCTTTCACGTTCACAGCATGTTTTAATGATTGATTGATTGATTCCACTCTCATCCTATATAATAATGCCCCCCGGCTACGTTTGTCATGCGTGTTTTCCTTCTCTCCTCAGACTGTTTCGGTTTGATTCATAGCTATTCCGTCCCTATAACTATACGGAGCACAAATATGATTTAATACCCTCCTTGATATACCAGCCCAGCTGCCTGGAGGATCCGGGTTGGCTGCCGGGAGATCCGTTAACTATCAGCCAAACATAAGAACTAGCCCCACCAAACAAAATACGCGCGGAGCTTGTCAGCAAGACATCCCCACGCTTTATGAATGCAGTGACTAGTTGAAGTTATTTTTCTCTTCCTCCCAGGCTAGTCCGCTCTTGTGCCATCCTGAGATATCAAATGCGCCCTGGGCGAACGGAGAGATGGCCACGGAACATTTCAAGTCTTCAAGTCTCCAAGCTTTCAAGCAAGGAGATGAAAATAGTTAACCTTCCAGGAACTAAAAATAGACACTTCTTGGCAACGGCAAAGGCGGCTGAGCCGATCAATGCGCATATCAACTTCGCCTGAAGAACAACGCCACCAAACGGATCATCACACGATGACAGACAAGAAATAAGACTTATTCAGCGGGATTTATGTATAGATTACCCTTGTTGATATCTCCTTTCTTTTTTTCCACCAAATGCTTGCTCCTATGTACATGTATGGGTGTATGTAGCATGATTAACTAATTCACAGTAGTAGAGGGTAAGTGGTAAGTAAAGATGGGGGCGAGAAAAATGCGAAAATCACAAGGCGGAACGAGGAAGAGCAGCCTGCTAGTAGTTAGCCAGGGAAGAGGGAAGAAGCAAAACGGAAACCAATCGAGGCAATGCCTTCATGCATTGTATGGACAGTATGTAGCTAAGCGCCGCTGTCAGAGCCGTGTCATTAGATAACATGTAAATTCAAACCGAGCAAGGTAAGCCAATAAGCAGCTGGGATGTGGTACAGCGGTAAACGGAAAGAGATAACCAGATCAGGCCAAGTGAAAGAAGAGAAGAGGACGAAAAAAGAGGGAGAACACGGAACAGTTCTATAACGAACGAAGAGAAACGTAAGAAATGAAGAACGTTTGGAATCCAAAAAATGAAGAAAAATCAAATGCGCCACCCATGCCTAACCAAGCAAAAAGAGATGAATGAGATAAAAAGGAGTAAAATCGAAGAAGTTGGAAGAAGTAAAGTCGACTAATAGTGTTGGTAGAGGAGGGGGTAAGGGGTATTATTCGATGCTGAGGTACATATCGCCGCCACGCTTTGACGGCGTCACTTTATTATACCCCTTCGAAGTAGACGAAGGATCACTGCGCATGCGACGGGGAAGGCCCCGCGAACGAGGGACTGCACTGCTATTCGAGCGAGAAAGCGGCGAGGATGAGTTTATTGAATCATTATCGGAATCATCATTGTTGTTGGAATCATGGATCTGATCATGCTCAATCTCGATTGGTCGCTGTACTTTTGCAGGAAGAGTGATTTCATTGCCCATTTTGCCTGCCACTCTCTCGCCGCGGCGTTTGACGAGAAGGCTGCTTGGCTTTTTGCTCGATGCTGTTGAAGTTTGATGGCGGAGGCCCCGCGGGCTAAGTTCTCCGCTGCTTCGTGGGCTGGAACAGCATGACGATATAGAGCCGGCGAGCATGGCTTTGGGTAGAGTCGGGGAGTGGTCAGGTAGGGCTTCGGCGAGGTAGTTTTCATGTATTGTCTCGTGAGTTGATAGGGGTGGAGGGACGAGTTTGGAGTATGTTCGGATGGACATTTCGCTGGCACCATCGCTTTCCGCATAGGACGATAGTTGTCCTGGACGGTAGTAGCCTGAGTGAGTGAGATCTGGCGTGCCTGCTGAGCTGGGGGGCCCAGTGCTGGGTACTTCTCGCACGGGACTGAGTTGGCGGGGTATATGGCTATTGTATGAGTGTATACTTCTTGATGAAAATGGCTCGGGATTGTATGGCGGAGCCAAGTGGCCGGGCATAGGAGGTTGGAATTGGTCCCTTGAGCTAGTCGAACTGCGCCCCGAAGCAGCATAAGCCTTCGACGGTATAGATAGTAGCCCAGAACCAGCGGAGAGGCCCTGGTTGCGGCTCGGGCTATTGGTAGAGTATCCAAGCCCACTGTTGAAGCTGTGCGGGCTTTGTGTGGACCTCTGGTTGGCCTGGACCAGTGCTGGGCTGTAGTTGAGCGAGGATGCACTGCGGAGCGGATCAACTACCGACTGAGATACGCTCTTTGGCGAAGGCCCACGGCTGCTACAGGCGTCTCCAAACGGACTGTTAACTCGTTCTCTATCTGTACCGCGAGACCCAACTGAGCTGCCATTGTAAGGGTTGTCCGGTAGGAGGTCTGATTGTGTTCGTTGGGAGGTCATGCTATGTCCTCTGGACTCTGCGTACTCGTTCTCCAAATCCCTAGTGGACCGCTGAAGGTATGCAACTGAGCACGGCATCATATCAATAGGTAGCAATGTCCTGCTCCGAGATGATATACTTCTGTTGTTAGAAGAAGCCTTCGATGTACTCAACGCACGTGTTGTTGTTCTTGAATTAGCCATAGCATGCTCGATGTTTTGATATCGTCCTTGCTGTCCCCCCTTTTCGCTCTCCTGTCCTTGCTTGGCCCTCCGTCTACGCCTGTTCAGGAAGAAAAAGAACAGCACAAGGGTAATGAGGGATGCAAAAGCGATGCCACCACCGACGTAAAGACCAACCAGCTGGTTCGAGCGACCTCCGCCGCTTGGCTCGCTAGTAGCTGATGCTGCCCCAGTTTCTGTCGAGGAGTAGACGTAGGTGAAGTCGATTGTATCTGTGGGTATACCTACACCTGGTATACCACTTCGAGTCACTGAGGACATGGGCGACGCTGTAATTTGGGTTGTTTGTTCCATCATGGACATGCTGGGCAATGTATCTGATACTGGCGTACCTGGAGCTGGAACTGGAGCTGGGGGAGTCGGAGCTGGAGGAGCTGGGGCAGACTCCCTGGCTGTCGGGGAGGTCATGGCTGGAGGTTGAGGATTCATTGAAGTTGGCTTAGGAGCAGGAGTTGAGGATATCCCTATGACAGGATGGGTATTTGGTAAGGCACCTTCAACTCCAGAGCATAGAGCGTAGACTGCGTGCTGCTCTGCTTCAGAATTGGGACAGTTCTCAGCAACACAACGCAAGGCAGCTTCCGCAACGGTGAATCCGGTTGTTGATCTAGCTTTGCAAAGACAGATGGCATCGAGAGGTTTCGGGCATCCTTCCCAAGTTTTTTCTGATGATATGAAGGTCTCCAGGCAGGGCAGAGCACACACTGGAACATTTTTGCTGAGTAACCGGGGTGTCTGATTACGTGCTTGCAGTAGCTTATACCCCCGGCCAAGGTCCAGGTCTTGGTCCCGGTCCAGGTTAGAGAAGGCTGAAGTTGTTGATGATGAAGATAGTGATGAACTCCTAGTCGTAGTAATTATACTTGTTATTGTGGCTGCGGCGACAGAGGCGGCGGATAAGAAAGTCAACAAACTGTTTGCTACCGGCACAGCAGAATAGGATGGCATCTTAGTGTGACTGCAGGTGCAATCTCCAGAGCTTCCGCTGCATAGTCATCCACGGCCCGCGTAAACGTCCTATCAGCCCGGCGTATTTTGGGGGTTGCAGTTGGTAGGTTGGTCGGTTGGTCCAAGGGTTGATGGACGAGGAAGAAAAAAAATCTATTGTTGCTTGCTTTGCTGCACAATGCCCAGCACCGGTGCGATTACTCACACGTTAATCAGTGCTGCGAGGGGCAATCCGTGAAATATCATATGTATTATTAACTCTCCACGCGTCCAGAATCCCAGTTGAATTATGAAACGATTAAAAAGAAGGATGTGTAAAGGAAGAATGGTCCCTGTGGAGTAAGTAGGTGGTATAGAGAAAGGAAAAGGAGACAAATATTAGTAGGTATACGAAGAAAAAGAGAATGAGAGACAGAAAGTAAGAGAGAGTAAGATCCGGAAGGGGGAGAGAGAGAAGAGAAGAGAGAAGAAGAGCTTTGAAGACGGGAGAAATGAGGCCAAGAAGGCCATCATATGAAGGCCATGCAGCGGTTTTCATACTAATTAACTTGTCTGATCGGAAACGGCCATGATACATGAACCACCCCCGGAAAGGCAAAAAAAGGAAGAAAAAAAAGAAGGCGGAAAAAGAAATAAAACCGCAAAAGCGACAGAGAGGGTCAACCTCCGTCGAGGAAGTAAAAAAAGAGTGTCCCACAGCCAACCAAGCAAGGGTACCCCGTAGGTGCAGACGCAAGGGGCTGATAAAGTCAACCAGCTTGGGGCGGTTAACTCAAGAGTGGGTGTTCAGGCACGTAAGCAAGCAGAGCACGCAGGCAAAGCAAGCAATCAGCCGGATAACTAGTTGAACTAGCAAACTATCATCCCAACCTTCATGACCCGTACGGAGCAGTGGAAAGGTTCAACCACAAAGCGCCGACAGCGCCGATCTGGCTCCCATCCACACGCAGATAAGTAGAGAATGGGATGGTCGAAGCGGGAGGGCGATAGCGAGTGAGCGAGGGAGCGAGAGAGAGATAGGGATGGAGGCCAGTCCATATTCCGCATGGCTAACTAAAAAAAGTAGCCTCCGGTGCTAAGTGGTGCAGTGGTGAAACCACTCTAAAGGGCGGGCGGGGGCCGCGGATTGGATAAAAGTAGAGCGAAGCTCCGGCGTCTCTCTCCCTCTTTCTCGCTCACTCACGCACTCACACACACTCTCTCTCACTTCCCTTTACTCGCGTTCGCTGCTGTGTTGGCCGTTGGTTGTCTCGTTCTGCTGACTAGTTAAGCGCTGAAACGTCTCCATTTCGTGTTATTAAGGAGGTCGCTAGAGTCACGTGGTTGGACGACATGGACTGTTTAAATTGAGACGAACTCCCCAGGCAGCAGCAGATGCAGGGCAAGGCAGAGGCAGGGCAGAGGCAGGGCAGGGCAATGTAAGGCCACGCAGGCCTCGCAGGCAGGCAGCCCGGAGAGGGAAGAGGACCCCCTGGATAGTGGTCCTCAGTCAGGGCGGGTGCGTTGCTATAGCAGGAGTTGGTTGCCGGTTAACGGTCATGCCGTGCATGTGGGTTGGGAGAGTGGATGACGCTGGGCCCTGGGCTTAGTAGGAATAGTATTAAGTAGTAGTCGAAAAGGCGCAGATGGGATGCGAGCAGAAGCGAAGACGGCGAGACAAGACGAGACGATAAGCAAAAGGAGGCAGAGAAGCAAAAGAGCTTGTCTGGATGGCTCGAGGGTTCAGTCAGTCATGCTAAAAACAGAACTGCCCAAGTCACGTCGTGTCGTGGGTCGTGTAAATTGTATCGTGGACTGAGGAATATGGATGATACATGCAGGGCGGAGGCAGAGGTTGTTTCGTCTTCGCTCCCAGCAAGTCTAATCAGCGTAATCAGTCTATCAGTCCAGGCCTTCGACAGCCGCCGCAATGCTCTCTGACGCTCCGTGTTTGCTTTTTCTTCTTTTTTCTTCTTTTTTCTTCTCCTTCTCCTTCTCCTTCTCTCTTTTCCTTTTGCTCTTGGCGAGTCACTCTGTCGCTAACGTCTGACTGAACTACTGATTGATATCACGGACACGATCTCTTGTTCCTGCGGCGAACCCAACTAATCCACCAGCTAGTCTGGCCAGAACCGAGTTTTCTCTTCTTCCTTTGCTTCTTTCTCCTGCTCGCTTGGCCTCTTGTTGTCGCACGGGCCTGGCAGAAGACTTTGATATATGGAGCTAGAACAGAGAAAAAGTGGTGAAAGCGGTACCTGGGCTGCTATAAACTCGCGAGGAGAATACCCGCTTGCTAGTTAACTATCGATATCGGGCTTGACCGGATAACGGCCATCCCTATAGTCCAGAGTAGTTAGCTAATAGGCAGCTGCTCTCAGATGATATCCTCCCTTGCTGCCGAGGAATGATGTCGAAGGGCCATATGTCGAAGCCCTTGTCGAAGCGTCACTGTCACTGCGGGGGATAAGAGAGATAAACCGTGATCTGGTCGATTCAGTTCACCACGATGCTCACGGAGAAAAGGAGAGATGGCTGTGATAGCTCAGGCCTTGGACGAACTACTGCGAACCAAGTGGACGAGACGGCCATGCATGTCCTTCCCGGCTGATCATATAGTTTCTTTTTTAACGAGGATTCCCCATCATTTCAAGAGTATATGTGTGTATAACTCCGTAGTGGACTTTTCTTAGTGTGGACTCGGACTTTGCTTGGAAGAAGAGTAGCTTTTCGAGAAATTATCCGCCTCTTGCCATGCCCGTGTCATGACACCCTTCTCGGTGGAACGGAAGAGCCCCATGCCCAAGCCCTTTTTGAAGGAAGAGACCCATGGTTCGGAGTTTGGCCAGGTACGAGCACGAGATAACTAAAAGCAAGTAATAGAGTAATATATATGCAATGTACCTGAAAGAGAGATGAAGTAAGATGAGATGAGATGAGATGCATGCCATCCCCGCCGTCGATCTCAATATCCCTCGTATATGTAGATGAGTATATGTCCAGGGTCTTGGTTACATATATTACACCTCAATCTCGGCGTATGGTCATGCTACTGGTGTCTCTTAACTCAATGGCAAGAGAAGCTACTGCACAAAACATGACCGTTGGAAAAGTCTATTGATGTCAAGTAGTTACATAAGGGAGCTGCTCTCCCGAGGCTTTGATCGTCAAAAATAAAAGAAAAAAGATATGCACATGGCATGGGCCATCAAACAATCCTCCAACACGAAAGATGTGGATGTTGGATGTGGGATCCTCTCCGTTTGAGGCGAGACAGCTCCAAGTCTCAGGTGAGTGAGCGAGTACCTAGTCAGCACGTCGATTAAAAAGAGTGAGATGAAGAAAGGAAGAGAAGAAGAAGGATGGTAAAAAAGGAAGAGGGAAAAAGGTTAGATGAGGGATCTCCCTGATTATATTTTTGTTCTTTTTCTTCTTTTTCTGTCTCTTCTATTATACTTGACTCTGAATAGGGTTACAGAAGCGATACCAAGCAAGCCTAAACAGGGCGTGAGACGCTGATGGGGGGCGCAAGTAGCAAGAAGACAAGAGAGAAAATGGATGAAAGATAAAGAAAACGAACTCAAAGGCAACCAGATTGATCCCTTCCAAGAGACATGATGAACAAGACCGAGTGAGTAGCAGTGTACAAAAAGAGGCGTGGTATCATGGGGAGGGCAAAAACCATAGAGAGGGTATAACAAAAAGAACAAGAGCAAAAAAAGAAAAAAATATGAAATCCATCATTAGCATCCGAGGAGAGATCCAACGGTCAGTCTCTCTCTCTCGCCTTTTTTTTTCTCTTTCTTGTCTTTTTCGTTCCTTTTTTTTTTGGTTGTTGTGGTGTGGTATTTTATTAGACGTCATTAATGAGAGGCTGAGAGAGGGCTAACAAGTATTAAGTAATAATAAGACCATGGTATAAAACCTAACTGCCGAAAGAGTCGGACGAGAGGGCCTCTTTTCGCAGTCTTCTAATCTTCTTCTCCTTCGTTGTTGTTGTCGTGTTCGATGGTGGAATGGAGCTGCCTGTCCGTCGTATCCGAGTTGGTCAGGACATGCATATAAAAAGTCGACTAGTCGTTTCCGATCCACCGTGAGAAGATGAAGCCGCGACGAGTTTCACTCTAAGCCCGACCTCAAGCGGCAGGCTCTAATACTTGAGAATGATGTATCTATTTTATCCATCTCGTGTTAGTTATGGGTGCTTCGTAACTTGGGCGGAGTTTGATGATACTGACAGTGCATGGATGATACCCGGGATGTATCCGAGGATGGTCAAACAGATATTGATCAAGAGATCAGCACCGCAACCTCTCTCGAGGAAGACACCGATTGGTGGGAGGATGATGGCAAGGATGATCTTGCAGATGTCGCTGTTGAGGCAGAAGAAGAAGAAGAGAAGTCAGTCATCGTCTCAAGCTTGAAAAAGCAAAACAAGGAGCAGGAGAAGAGAAGAAGAAATAAGAAACAACAACAACAAAGGGCAACGACTTACGAAGCGGTAAAGGCCATCTTGGACGAGTGAGAGAGTTATCTAGGAAGAGATGGAGATTTATCCTTGGTTGACGGCTGGACGTGATGCCACAGAGCGGTCGATGGTCGATGATCGATAGTGGTGAGAAGAGAGAGTGTGTTGTTGATGGGAAGATGTTGAGGGGGGAAGGAAGCGGAAGTCGGACAAGCAGGTATTTAAACTAGTCCGGCCACAGGCAGGTCAGCTACTAGGTAACTTAGTGCGAGTCTGCCCTTTCTCTTCTCCTCTCCTCTCCTCAACCAAGGCAGCCAAAGCTGGCAAGGGAAAAAGCCCCAGCAGCAGCAGCGGCGGCTTTCGGCCCTTGAAGAGCGACCAAAAACACAGCAAGCTTTGATAAGTCAGCGGAAGTGGCCAATCAGCGGCCGTCAATATGGGGGCTAAATCTAAAGTGGGTTACAGGCGAGATAAGGCGCGACCCGGGGATACTTCGCTTGCCATACAAATTCTGCGCGGCCACAAAGTAGCTCGAGGTCGCTGCGGATCTTGCGTAATGATCGACCCCTCGCCTGGTTACGTCATCTTCAGCTCCAGCTTTAGCTTCTACTCGTCAGTTCCAGGCAGATTGTCAGGTCACCGAGCAAGGGTCGATGGTATTCATAGCAACGGAGCTCGCTAAGCCCAACGGTGTCGGGAGCCACGACAACCGCCACATATGACGGGACCTCTGACGTCTTTTGCTATGGCGCAGAAGTCTTGTTTTAAGGCTGCGTGCCGGACGACCGACCTCTGGGTCAGATGGAAAAGGCTGGCGGCGGAGCTTGTGCTTTTTGTGTTCCTGGCTTCCTGCCTGCTTTTCGTTGCCTTTTCTTCGCGCTGGTGCCTTGTGACGGGCCAAGCAGCCCTAAAGGCACCTGAGGCCTTGGCTGATGTAATCAAAAGGAAACTTTCAGCTTCCGCGACTGCCGGCCGCGGCTACCGTTGGCGGAGTTTTGATGTTCCGGTTTCTTCCGCGCACGTGATATAGACGCCGCTGGGGCCCAGGCCTGGCAAAGGGTGTCGAGGGGAGATTTGGAGATGGCCTCTTTTAATTACCGAGTTGATCAAGGGTTATTATTATGGCCCCCGTTTTTGCATGGTTGACGGACGCTATCAAATAAGGCAACCCTTTTTGCTGCTTTACCCTGCGCCTAAGGCGTGCTTCCGTTGTACTCCAGATTACCGTTGGTTGCGCCCTCCCATTGAGCAGTCGTCCTTCAAAGGCTCTCCTCCAGCTGTTTCCGGGAGATGGGTAACTCGCAAGTCTACGCCGTATATCCCACTTGCTGAGTCGCCAACTATACTGCAAGTCGGACATCTGCTTGAGAAATTAATGTACCTAACGATCTGATGCGTGCATAAATGCAACTTGACAGGTGTGTTTTTCTCTGTGGGAAGAATATCACTATGCAGGCCAGGTGCCTAGCATCCCGTCTCAACAAAAAATTCTTTACCCAAACCTGGCAGGCCTCCCTGGACGGGCTACCCATCTTGAGAGGGGGCTTTACTAGGATGGCCACGGGAAAATATAGTGGCCAGGCGGCCTGAGGGCAACAAGGCGGAACAAAGAATAGGCAACCCCCAACATGCGGTGCATGCAAGTGACAGCGAATCACTAGTCTTGGGCTAGTTACACAAGGCGTTCGAATGACCAGGAAACGATCGATTGGAGAAGACCATGATTTAATCCCTCTAGACTAAACCAGAGCTCTGGGCTGCGATGGTGAAGATGTATCACTTCGACGGTCTAAAAAAAGCCCTGCATCCAGGCCTGGGTTGAAGCGATAAATAAATAGGGCGGATAAGCTGCCTGGCACACACACAAACACAGTTTAATCTGTTTCTATACTCCCCCCAGAGGCACATATAAAACCAGTCAACATGGGGACTTCTACCTCGATACGTATGCTGGAGCTGGTAACAGAGTATCCAGCTACTGTCCTGGGTACAGTCTTTCTGCTATACCTGATCTCTCTCGCTGTCTACCGGCTGTTCCTACACCCTTTGGCGGGATATCCCGGGCGCAAGCTCGCCGCTCTTTCCGTCTGGTACGAGTTCTTCTACGATGGCATCCAGAAGGGACGGTATACCTTTGAGATTCAGCGCATGCACGAAGAGTATGGACCAATTGTCCGTATCAGCCCAGATGAATTGCATGTCAACGACCCTGGGTTTATCAGCGAACTGTATGCTGGCCCTGGCAAACGACGCGACAAATACCCCTATTACAGCACTCAGTTTGGTCTTCGTGATAGTGTAGGGGGTACTCCGGGACATGACCTGCATCGTTTGCGCCGCAGTGCTCTAAACCAATTCTTCTCAAAGGCCGCCATCGCAAAGCTAGAACCCATGATCCAGCGAAAAGTCGAGAAGCTAGCACACCAGTTTGAAAGGCATGCAGAGACTCGAGGACCAATCCCCCTGACCGTGGCTTTTAGCTGCATGACAACCGACATCGTTACCGAGTATGCCTTTGCCAATAGCTACGACTTCCTTGATTCGCCCACCTTCGAGCCGAATTTCCATGAAGCCATCTCTGCAGGGAGTCTTATCGCGACCTGGCAGAAGCAGTTCCCGTGGCTGATACCAGCAATCAATGCTGTACCACAATGGATATTACGCAAAATTAACTCGAAGGCTGCAGCATACGCCAAGTGGCAGCAGGATATGCGCGTAGAGCTCGCTAATGAAAAATCTAAAATTGCTGCCGGGGAGGTTCCGGACGGTGCATCCCGTACCATCTTTCGTGAACTCCTCACCGGTCCTTTGCCAGAACAGGAGAAACGGCTCGAACGGATTTGGCAGGAAGGCCAACTCGTCGTCGGCGCAGGGACAGAGACCACTGCATGGGCATTGACAGCTACCCTCTTCTATATCCTTGACAACCCAGCTATTGTCTCCAGGCTGCGACAGGAGTTAAACGATGCCATTCCCGATCCAAACCAAAGCGTAAGTTGGACAGAACTGGAGAATCTTCCTTATTTAAACGCAGTGATATCCGAGGGCTTTCGTCTCTCCTACGGCTTAAGCACAAGATTACAACGCATCAACCCCATTGGAACAATGCATTTCAAGGCGCCGAGATATGGAAGCCGATATTCTAGCACCGCGAAGACCACTGAATGGGTGGAATACGACATTCCAAAGGGAACGCCGGTGGGAATGACCTCGGCTTTGATACATGTCAATCCCGACATATTCCCGGATCCATATGCCTTCAACCCCGACAGGTGGCTCGATGAGCATGGAAAGCGCCATAGGAGACTAGATGAGTACCTGTTAAATTTCTCAAAGGGTAGCCGGCAATGCATTGGTATCAAGTATGTTCAATTTATCATTACCTCCAACTTCCCGTTCTTAGGCGCACTTGCTAATACATTTGCTATTGAACAGCCTAGCCCGTGCAGAAGTTTACATGGGTATTGGACTCTTGATCAGGCGCCTTGGGGATAGAATGAAGCTGTTTGAGTGTACCAAGGAGGATGTAGAGGTATATTACGATCGATTCGTGCCAACGCCGAAGAATGGGTCGAAGCGCGTACGCGTAATGGTCACGCCAAACTAATGTGACGGGGGCAACTTTGAGATATTGGAGTATTAAAAGCAGGAACGGAAAAGGGAGGGGCGTATATCCAAGTTAATTGTTTAATATTTATTATATGGACAATAATGAACGACAAATAGCGGGTTTGCATTCCTTTACAGTCGGTTCGAGATTTACTGTTTGATAAACACGTAAATGCCAAGCTTTTTCGCCAAGCCTTTTGATCTCCAAAAGATTTCATGGATTAAAGGCAAGCATTTTATACGCAGATGCAAAGGCAGAATCCTACCATTTATATGTAGGCCTTTACCTCCCTCGAGGCATCGTGTCCATGTCAACTTTCCTGCGGTGCTGTTGGGGCCCAACAAAATGGCGGCCAATTGGTGAAGTCCCAAGCCGGACACGACATATAGCACACTTCTCTCAGACGGCAGCCTCAGCAGCTACATCACGACAAACCCTACGCATAGGGAATATCCAATGGAATATACTGGGCTCTGCTACGATACTGACTCCAAACCCATCAGCAGTGGTAAGTGCTACTAGTGCACTCTTTGGTTTTCTCAGTACCTAATAGTCGGTAGACACCAGATAGTATATTATCAAAGCTCCCTTCGTTCAGCACCCAGCTCCATCCCGACAGCCATGTCCCTCTCCTCCTCGTCACGCCGGCGTTCGCCCAATGGCTAGAAAAAGACAATACATTCCTCCCTAAGTTACTACAGCATTGCTTCCGAGAAGCAGCAGCAGCTGAAAATCTCGAAATATGCTCGGTGGAGGCGGTGGTTGATAGCCTACCTGCACCTGTGGACATTAAACACAATGCCTTAGAAGGGTTTTCGCTGGCGATTGTCAATTGGGGCGCTATATCAGGCAAACTAGTACCTCAAAGAGGTATTGAGAATATCTCTTTCTCTCACGTTGAGCCAAAGCTCTCGATTTCTATCCGTGACCCGTCCGCAAGCACCGAACTTGAGGTTGGAATGCCCATGGGCAACACGCTTTTCACCACTGGTAGACCGTACACAATGTACGCTTCTAGGTGGAAATCTACAGAATCGATCGATGAGATTCCTCAGATCACGGATCGATGTGACATTCGGACGTGTAGGGTTGAGCTACGAACGAAGTCCTCGCTCAAATCGCTTAGCGCACCTCTGCACCCCGTTACTGAGCCAAGGATAGTAGCGGAGAGTATGGGGAATATACTTAAGACCGTCTCCAATGGATCAAGCCCAGAAAAGGATATCCCAGCATCTACTGAGTTAGAGAAGGCTATACCACAATATATCAAGGACCACAACCTTGAAAGCCAGAGACTGGCTGTTTGGGCGATGGTAACACCCAAAAGCATAGCACAAACTCATATTGGAGCCGCTTCCGGCGGCGCTATTGATGTATCGGCTGCTCTGAAAAGGGGATCACGGCTTTATCGTGTCATGAGCGGTGGAGGCGGATGGGGCAAGAAGAAAGGCCTGCTCTCTCTTGATCCCGAGTACTCGTATGACGATGAAGAACCGATATCCAACCTTGTTTCAATACACGAGATATTCGATGAGGATGTTTCTGAGAAACATAGTGACGATGCCATCTTGTTCAATGTGCTGGAAAACACACCTAAATTTACAGACGTTGACGGGCTGATGATGAGTCCATTGCGTGAGGTTGTGACGACCGGTGACGTCGTGCAATTCTTTGTTGCATCTTTGGATAATAACCTGGACAAAGCGGCTATGCAACCAGAGCCCGCGGTGATGCATGAAAGCACAGGGAAAGAGACCACTGTTCTGGACTTTTCCGTCCTCCCTGCTCCCACAGATGCTCCCGTGCGGTTACCTAGCGAGGGGCTTCAGGACGGGTCTAAGAAGCTAGATGACATTATTGTAAAAGCAAATAAGTTCGGCGCCTCCTCTGAGAAGTCCATGGTCTATGCTAGGACCGCGGGTGATTTGATGGGGGACCGAGTCCAAGCCTCAGGCACCAAAATTGACATCCCTGGTGCCAGGCTTGTGATTGAAATACCGTCTGAAGAGCCTTTCTTTAGAATGTAATCTATAGACATGTACAATAGAGAATCGAACATATCATAATCATGAGAGTCAACGTCCATCCCTTCCTAACCGTCTTTTTTATATCAACCGTGAGCTCTATCGCCAGCTGACTCAGCGGAATACACACGTGATGCTTGGCATCTCCCAGCAACGACCCAAAAGTCAAACCTCAGCTTAACAACATCTTGTAAGGGTCAAGCAGGAAAACAACTCGCCATCTCCCATTAATCCTCGACTCAACTCGCCCGTCTCGAGATTCGTTGCTCTATCAAGCTCTATCCTCTCTCCCAGATCCAACACCTCCTCTAAGGAAGCTTCCTTCTCACCGCCGCCAAGATGTCTACCGATCTTTGGTGAGTGCCTGGCTCGTTGAAGGCGGCTTTACACCAGCGCCTTTTTCCCCTTGCTATCTCCCGTAAAGCGGTTTAAATATAAGAGATATCTTGCTAATCATGTTCCTTGATACGTGTTTATAGCCCCGTATATGCGGTTAGTTAAATCCCTTACATGTTGTCGTCGTCCGCGGAACCGCAGGCGAACCTCGATTCTGAGAGCTTCCATCGAGCTCATCCACGCGAATGCGAAGAGACGCCATCTAGCTTCATCAATCAAACACTGACATCTCGTTGATATCATATAGCCCTTCTTCGGTGCGCTAGGATGTTCATCCGCCATCATTTTCACCTGCTTCGGCGCTGCCTATGGCACCGCTAAGGCCGGTGTTGGCATTTGCTCCACCCTCGTCCTCAGACCTGATATGATTGTTAAGAGTATGATTCTGTCCTACGTCCAGCGCGTATGCTCTGGTATATTGGCGTGAAAGCTTTACTGATGACGACGCAGATATTGTCCCCATTGTTATGGCTGGTATTATTGGTATTTACGGATTGGTCGTGTCTGTCTTGATTGCCAACGACTTGAAGCAAAACTTGCCACTATACACTGGATTCGTCCAACTTGGTGCTGGTCTTGCTGTCGGTCTCGCCGGTCTTGCTGCTGGGTATGTTCTTCACCGCTTTGACGTAACGGGTTTATGTTTCGTGTTAATTATGCTAACCGGTTGTTTCTTACTTGTGATGCAGTTTCGCTATTGGTATTGTTGGTGATGCTGGTGTTCGTGGAACTGCCCAACAGCCCCGACTTTTCGTCGGTATGATTCTTATTCTCATTTTCGCTGAAGTTTTGGGTGAGTATCTTTCTTCCAGTAGAGTATATATCCCTGGCTCTAAACGTCGTTACTAACGATCAACTAGGTCTTTACGGCCTTATTGTTGCTCTATTGATGAACTCCCGTGCCAGTCTCGAAGCTACCTGCTAAACTGGAACTGTCAATAAATTCCATCGACGAGCATCTTTTAAGTCGCATACACCACACCCTTTGACGAATACGGGACATCAGTCAATGTGATAGAAGATGGAGGGAGTTACGACAAGGTATATAAGTTAACGCCACCATCAGCTATCGTTCCGTGGCCATTGTCCCAGCTGATATCAAACCTCTATTTGGATACAAATGCAGCAGAAAACCAAGCTATCCCGTTTCAATATCTATATCATCTTAGTTGTCTCTTATCCTAATCCCTTTTTCCTTGCCCTTTTTTGCATGTATTCACGTTATTTCGTTATGTTCAAGAGTTGTCGTTTCGTCTCTTTACCAGTAGTGCGGATAATTGTATCATAACAGATAGCGGTTATAAAGCGGGGATTTCTACTACACTTAATAGTTTGATAATACGGTCAGTCGACTCGTGTAAATGTAGAAGGATTCGATATTGTGAATCCTCTGATGTATTCTTGATGCCTGGGAGATATATGTAGAAGATAACTAAACGAGGAAAAGAAGTTACCAAGAAAGCGAAAGAAGAACAGCATATTCTAGGATGGGAGATGATGGGATGGATAAGGATTATCTAGACATTCGAATCAAAACGAGATAGGAACGCCGGACAAAAAAAGGTACGCACAGGATATGCATAGATAGGCGAGCTAGAGAGAAAAAGGTGTAAAAGTGAAGAAACAAAAGAAACGAAGACAAAGACTGATTATATGCAATGGTACCCCGGTGAAGGTAGATGGATATAAACGAGGACGGGGGAAAAGAACCTAGAACCAGAAACAATAAGGCTCTTAGTTCTTATCCAACTTCCGTCTCAAGGTCCTTGTCTTTTTTAGCAGCTTCTTGTGCTTGTGCTTCTTCATCTTTAGCTTCCGTTGTCTCTTGACACTGATGGTATACATTCGCTCGCGCTGGCGCTGGCCCTGGGCACGCTCCCACTGCAACTGTCTAATGACCATTCGCTGGAGGAAGCTCTGCTTTGGCTCGGAGACTGAACGGTCACTAGTCTCTTGGTCTTGGTAGATGGATGACTCACCCTGGGCGGAAGGGGCCTCCATATCATCTACGCGGACGAAGGGAGAAGCATATGCCTCGTATGACTTGCGGCCCTCTGCGTTGCGGCTTTCGCGAATAGTAAGGACGGTGGAAAACGTTTGGTCGCTGGGCTCGGACTCAGCGGCAGCTTCTGCAGCGCCGGACTTGTCTGCGGCGGATTCCATACCTGCGGCGCTTTCGAAAGCACCGTCCATAGGGGTAGGAGCTGGAGGGGGATTGAATGGTCGTAGGCGCTTAGCGAACTCTTGGATGGAAGCTCGTAGCTCCTGGGTAGGTACGCCATCGAGATGAGTGACGTCTGACTCGGCGTGGATGGACGAAGCTTGTGAGATGGCGTTTCTAAATTCGATATCCTCAGCGGATGCCTGATGCTGGCCAGGGAGGTTCTGCTCGATCGCGTTAACGGCGGAGGAAAGGGTGTATATCACGTCCTTTTGCCTTGCGGCAGCTTGCTTCTTCGGCGAGAAGATGGCCGAGAAGGTTTTGCTGTCGTTATTTGGAGGTACGGAAGTAGTTATTGACATGGGTCGGTGGATGGAAAAGAACGAAGCTACATGGACATCTGGAAAATATCAACGTCAGTTCAGAGCCGTTACAGATATATATAGATATATGTATATGCGTTGAAGAAGAGCTTATTTACCGTGAGGATGCAGGTGCTGCGTGGAGGGTACGCTCGGCAACTTCAGCGAGCTGGCCTGCTTCGACTTTGCTGTCTCGCCATCCTTGCCGGCACGCTTTCTAGACGACCGGCCTTCTCTCTTCTCTACGTCCTTCTTGCTCGACGGCCCGCTGCTGACGCTCTTTGCCGGCGTCTGGGCGGGCGGATCGATGCCTCTGGACCCGTCGCTGGGAGGCACGGGAGGCTTCGAGGACGAGTATCGACGCTGATGGCGGTACGGAGGGTTCCCACTGCTAGGTCCGGGAGCAGGGCTGCTCGAGGAGACGGCCAGGAGGACTGCTCGCGACGGTAGAGCGGCCGTTGACGGCAACGCCGCCCGGCGCACAGAAGAAGAGATCATGGCTGCCGTTCAACACCAGCTGGAGGGCCAGCGCAGGCAAAGGGGGGCGTAAGACAGTGAGAAAACCAGGCCGATGCAGCACTGGCAGCCGACTCTGAGGGCTTGCAGGCACCAGTTGGAGATTCGGGAGTTGTTGGGCTCTGCTTTTGCTTGCTCTGCGTTGCTGTTCGGCTGGCAGAGAAAAAGACGAACCTGAAGTTCTTGCATGAAGTTCGGTCACAAGCCGTGATGCTTAGTAAGAGGTCACGTGAACATTTAGCCGCCTGGGAGCTTTTGGTATAGAAGATACTTTAGATGGAAGAAGTAGAAGATGGGACGGAGATGAGTGATAACTTGTTCATTACTATATAGCTATTTTCAACTGAGTGGCAGGTCCGCCGGAAGCAGTAGGAGATGAAAGAAATGGGGACATATGTAGTAGGGCATATAGACAAAAACGACGAAGGTGACGCAGTGGAAAAGCAAAGTAAAGCAGGAGGAATCTCGAAGTCAGGCCTGGTCACGGGAGAAGCAAAGACGAAAGAGAAAGGGGGAGAGAGATAGGAAATAGGCCAGTTTTATCCTGGGGAGCTGTGTGTAGATGGCTGGTCGGCTGATCAAGCTAGT